GCAGTCACTTACTACAGGAGCACGTTGAGACACGCCCTTTGCCCGTAACGAAATCGTCAAAGAGGATGCTAGGTACTAGGCCTAAACGAGTCTTTGCCAGAGCTAAGAGCGTGTCCCTTTGCTGACTGGGAATCCGGAGGTTTTCGAAGGGCGCGGATGACCATTGAACTTGATCGAGATCGGCGACCGCAAACTCCACTGCATCCAAAGGTTAGCGAGAACACTAGTCAAAGCGAGTTTCACTTACTCCAGCTGTTCTCGCTGAAACAGTATCCTAAAACCGTTGGACAGCAAATAAGAAAGTCCACATCCTTCATCTCGGATGGATTCACACCATTGCTTTTCACCTGTTCTCTCATGCGTTGATCTTGATTATCAAAAAACACATCAAGACTGGCGGAGCCGTTACCGTCCACGTATAATTCACTCCGCTGGTTGATCCGCGGTCTGGTGTAGTTCGGATTCATCTGGCGAAAGAAGGCCGGGTCCACCATGATACGGCTGTTGATGGAGTTCTGGACAATTTCTCCCCGGACTTGGACGAAGGCACGACCGCGGCAGTGGCGAATGTGCTGCCCCTTCAGGTCGCAAAATTTGCGACCGCAGTCGATGAGAGATTTCATGGCATCTGATTTGTTTGGGTGATGGTCAAGGGGGAACGCCTCGAGATCGTGAATGGGCCTGGGTCCATGGAACCGGACCACCTCCAGCTGGGTACCGGCTTCGCCGAATACCTCACCGTCAAAATCCAGATAGCGACAATCTAAGCTGAAGTATTTGATCCCGTTCATTTTCGTTTTCTCTTCTCCGGCATCAAATATAACACATCGAGGCTTGCCTGTCCCTGGGCAGGTACTGTATACGAAGATCCCTGGTTTGAAGATGGTCCAAAGCAGGTCGTAGGTGATCTCTCTCCTGTTCAGAAGTGGCAAAAGGCTCTGGGTTGTGGAGGCATAGGTTTCCTTGATATACCCGATGAGCAGATCCACATGCTTCGAACGTGTGTCTCCGTGGTTCCTTCCTTTCTTAGAAATGTACTTCTCGAGGTCGGGAAGGAAATTGTACAGGAAGTTGCGCTCAACCTGATATTGGATTAGTAACTTCTTCAACGAGATTGAGTTGGAGGACGAAACAATACCGAAGGCTTATCCTCGCGCAAGCTGATAGCCCTAACATCTCTCACAATTTCTCGCAGAACTTCAAGCAACACCTTCGACTTAATATCGACAAAGGTCTTAGTTTCCTTGGTCATCCTGTCTGATATGTTGTCAGTTATTAAGCGTGAGAGAAGTTGAGATCGTGTTCCTACCTAGCTGCTTCCGGGCAACAAATACATACTGGTCAAGATCATCAAGGACCTTGTCCTCTCCCACGGATTCCACAATCTTATACTTCGAGTTGTCCTTGTCCCACCTAGCTGGCAGTGAGCATAAGGAGGATGAGAGTCCTGGATGATGGGACGTACACTTCATGGACTTCTTTATATTCAAGCTTTGATGCTCGAGCTTTCACCTCGTTGCCTCCTTTATCCTTGCATTTCTCTGATTTGACATCTCCAATCGGCTCCGAAGACTCTGATGGCTGCTTGGCTTGGCGAAGAGCAGCCATGAAAATTTGTTGCAGCTGTTCCATTGTAACGTGCTGCTGCGGGTCTTCATTGTTGGGGCTATTTGGAGGTGTTTGAGGGGGAGGAAGAGAAGAAGGGCGAGGAACTTTGGTGCTGTTAGACTTGGTGGGTTTGGACATTGTCATCGATAATGATATAGCGGTAACATGTAATGGCTCGCGGATATTGGAATGGAAAAATAGTTTTGCTGGGTTTCCTTGATCAAGTCAATTCATTGCCTCAGGATTCGGAGGAGATCTTGCGTCCTTATATGCTGTTCATTCACTGAGTAGAGCGAACCGTCTCTGCGTATATCTATGTAGGATATGTTGTCCATACCGGCCTAGAACATCCTAGGCACTGCGCTATACGCTCTAGATATCCACGTCTGATCTTGTGTTCCTGCCTCCACTGCGACGTCGAAGCACAAAAGGGGACGGTCGTTGAGAAGGTGGGACGTTCGATTGGTAGACAGCTCAGGGGAAGACAAACTCGATGCCGGGTTTGTTATCCCTTGAACCCCGTGCGGCCGAGCAGGACGAAGAGTTGCTGCTTCTGAAGACGATTGAGAGCGAGAATTTTCGTAGCGTGCAGCAGTGGGATAACCCATTGCATGGGAAAACCCCTCGGAAAAACCTGCGCTGGGGAAAGGAGTCCTGCAGAAAGGGGACTTCCCAACAATGTTAGGGAAAACCCTGAGAGGAAAACTTTGTAATATGCAGATTTTGGGATATCCCAAGCAAGGCTCAAGATAGAGTGAAGCTCACGATGAAACATGGTGAAATTCTAGCATCATGGTAAAATGTATTATCGTCGGTAGGCACAGTCAGTATCGCGAAAAGCAAATCATGGTTCTGGCAGCTTCACTGGGTGGAAAAAAGTTCTTCAGTTGACTGCTTGGGCACCAAATATGTCATATGGCTAGGATGATCAATATTTCAAACATGGTGGGGCGTTCGCTCTGACGGTGCATCGCTGCCTGACGTCTAGCCTTTAAATCTAACTGTGTTCTTCGGCGGGGTAGAAGCTCCAAGATCACCTTTTCCGTCACATCACCACACGCCTTCATTTGAAACGATCGATTTTCTCATACAAGAAGTCATGTCCCTCACCCAAAACAACCTCGATAGTGACCTGAGTAGGTTCGGCTTCGTCGTTGTAGGAAAGATTTCCTCGAAGCTCATCGAGAAGCTGCAGACGCATTTACAATCAAAGAAGGTCTCGCGCATAGTTCACCGGCACAGTCAACTGGAGTGGAATAGTGACTGCGATGCCATCTTTAATGATTTCGAAACGGTAAGCTGGAAACATGAAAACCTAAGAAACGGGACTGATTGAAGGATAGAACCTCAAACCTAAGATATCATCAGTCAAGGATAAGCCTTGCCTTCATCGTCGTTTCGTCTACTTCCACGAGTTCCCCGATCCGTCAGCCATTTTTAAACCTCCTGTTGGACAAGGGCTATTCGCCGTGTTAATTGTGGTTAAATCGGGTTCTGGATTTCCGCTCTTGTGTTTAGGGTCTCATAGGGAAGGGCCTGGAGGCGGGAAATCCCCTGTGGTTTCTATAGCGGAAGTTCCCCAGGAAGATGGTATTGTTGCTATCATTGATGCAAACCTAGCACGGCAGGATTCTCCGGTGAAACATAAAGACAGTGGAGGTTCCTGCATTTTACTGGCGTACTGACAAGAATATAAAATATGATCTATGTCAAGAGGCTGTTCAGACTTTCAAATGTATTTTCAAGTCTTTGCATTATTAAATAGTATTCAGCGAAACACTCTGATTCACTCAAAGCCCAATGATGAACTAAAATCTGCCCAGGCTTGCATTTCAACATTTTTGTTCGCATAGAATTCAACGAAAGCATGATCGAAACCTGATTGGAAGATTATTTCCGTTGTGTCTCCAGTACCAGTATCCATATTTTCCTGCTGCCTCCCTACACTAGTACTCGCAAAGAATTTATCCCAATCGACATCGCCAACTGACAGAGTCTGAAGGTCCGCTGGGGCCTCCAACTGCATCGTTCCAGGTAATGTGAAACTTCCATCCCCATCGCTGGGTTGTACCGTACGTGGTAAAGTTGAGCCTTCCCCTGACGTAGTTGATGACAGCGTCGCGGGCTCAACAGCTGCCTCTTCAATTGAAATATTCGGTTCCACGAGAGATTCCGGGCTTGAATTGCGAGGAGGAAATGGAGAAAGCAAGGCAGGGTATTGGGATGGCATAATCGAAAACGATCCACATTTACCATTAGGCTCTTCAGAAAGGTGATCCTCGCTGTCATTTGAAGGAGAACTTGGTTGAAGAGTCGACGCAATCTGTATATCCGGTGCCGCCATCGATGGTTTCGGTATTCTGGCATTGGGGCGCCGCCGTTTCCTCCCTTTGGAATTATGTACCTCAATTTTACCTGGGGAGGTTGGGCGAGACACTACATACGGTTAGAATATAATGAAAAATTACTGTTGAATGGACTCACAAATAGAAGCAACTTGACTTCGCTCACTTTGAAGCAAGTCATCCATAGCCAGCTTGGACAGATGTTTTCTCAAGCCCAGTGTCTGCATGTGACGAGGACTCCCTGTTTCTTGCATTGCTGGACAATGCCGTAGGTGGCCTTCAAAACGACCAACGCTATAAAATAAAGCGCCGCAACCGCAACGTACGTTGCAAGCGACATCTTCTTTTATTAACAGCTTTTCTCGTGATATAAAATGATGACTTACGTGAGTGATAGTGCCGAACCATATGCTGCCTTTTGCTGAAGGGTGTACTTTTCTGGACGCAATCACGATGAGGGCAGAGCCGAAGCGCGCCCCGGTCTGGGACTTGGGATTTCGGCGTCGGTTGAGGGCTATTACTGCTGCCTGCCTCGCAGTTTTTTCGTTCCTTCGTAACATAAGTATCCCGACAGCTCGGAGTGTATAGAGCATTTGCTAGCTGAGCTATAAGATTGAATATCCGCTGCTTCTAAAAGTAAGCCCAGAGAATTGATGGCCAGTAATTAGGGGTAATCAACCTTGTCGGGTCGAAGGTGACTCTGCACATCTGTCCGAGAGGAGAAAGTCAAAGCACAGTGAGGGCACGGCCACTCGCTGTCAGCTTGAGGAGACATTGTCGCTCGAAATCTTGAATTGTAGAAGTTCGGTTTGATCATCCAGAGCAATAAACGGAAGTAGGGAGCGTCCGATGAACGCTTTGCTGGCGATTGAATGTACTGGGTGTGGGTGGGTAGCCCAAATTATGTTATCGGGAAGCTTTGGAAGCGTCTCGAACAGGCCAATCATAACAGAAACTTGTACGGGAGCTTCTCGGCACGGGAGAGCGGAAGGGCATCCGTTACCACGTCAGCAGCTCAAGCACATGCCACTTGAGCGAATCAAGTGGAGCAAGCTAGCTGGACCACAGCTGGGAAGTCCCAAAGCCAGGATGGGAAGTCCCAAAATCTAAGAAAGGAGCAGACCAACCAGAGCGCCCGTAATGCCGCTGTTTGCTGTCGTTAGGCACCAGCGCATGGGTAGGACCAAATGAAGCTGCGTCATTCGGCTAATGTGCTTGATCTGGGATTCTTTCCCGACACAGGGTCTTGATGAAAGGGGCGAAATGGGTGGGCCAGATTGGTGCCGGACCTGTCAAGGAACTGTTTGCATCCCCAGTGATAAGAGAGAGAGAGAGAGAGAAAATCCATTCCCTTTTCAGCCTAATGGCTATGCAGGGCTATGCGCTATACTCTTTATGTACTGTACAATAGAAAAGTTTGATCTCGAGGCTCATATATGGGTGCAGGTCAGGCCTGCTATAACAAAAATTTGTGTCACACAGCATTCTCACAAGCATTCTCGCAATCTGGGGTGTTGGGAGTCGTTCCTGATCTTCGTAGATTATAACCACCGTGTTTCCGAGCGCGTAAGTTGCCTCGATCGCATGCTTCTTCACCGTCCGCAGTGCGAGAGGGTGGCGGAGGCCGTGGGCCGTGGGACGAGGATTAGAGGCGAAGGGGAGGTGTCGGCGGATGGAGGACTGACAAATTGGCTCCTGGAGGCATTGTACTGTCGACCGATAGTGAAGATGGTCAAGAGGCGTCAATATCTATTCGTGGAACGTGGGAAGGGGAGCTCTCTTGCGTATGGCAGAAAGCTCGACCAACTACTCAGGTCAACGCGGCACTCGTGTCGGTCCTTAGGGAGTTCGTGGGCTCACGAGAAGCCCACAATAGCCGCTCTGCTCTTGGCCATCACCTAAGTGATGTTACCAGGCTGCACCACGAGGAGGTGGCAGAGTCGGACTTCGCAGCCCCCCCAGTGATATAGGACACCGGAAAATGCGGGATTTGGCATAAGATGTCACATGATATAGCTAAAACACTAAATGGTGGTATTTTGGGCATATGGAGGAACTTTGATTGGGCCATTGGGTTGGGGTTGGGGATTGCTAATATTTTCTCTTGCTAACTCCGAAACATGTCAAAGCAGTGAGCTCCAATCGACAGCGCGAGACTGATGCTGCCCTTGTTTCAAGAACGAACTACGCGCCCGAAATATAATTCTCTTCCCAGCAGTTTATTATAAGAACCTCTGCACATTTCTGCTCTCGACGCATACTGGCATGATAAAGGAGCTAAAAATTTATAGCCATATGCCTAGTTCAGCGACCTCCAACCAGTCTCGCAAGCGTCAGTATCCTGAGCCCCATCCATCCGACAGGTCGCGATTTCGGAAAAGGCAGAAGTTCGACGCGTCGTCGGCATCAGCATATTGGGATAACCTGTCAAAGATTTGGTTAACCAAAGATGCATTAGAGGAGTTGGATCGAAGAAACAGCCTTCCGAAACCACCCAAGAACCATCATAGACCTATCACTCGACGATTTCACACCGAGCTGAAAAAGCGCTGTAATTCTTTTCAGTTTGCTCCGGTCTTTCTCCGTGATTGTGTACCCGCTTGTTCAAAGCAGATAAAGAGGGCTTCCAGATTGGGAGGACCTGACCTAACTGACCTTAGAAATGTATGTAACTACAAATCCATGCAAATACATCATTGCTGATAATATAGCCCAGTATCCTAAACCGGAAAACTTCCTCGAAAAGGCAATGAGCTCAAGGTCTCGGAGTAGAAAGCGACGCGCAGGTTCTCCATCAACAGGCGCAGATACGAGGGATACCACCAAGTCCACGAGCACTACACCCTATAATCGTAACTTCCAGCAGAATCTGATTGACCATGGCGTTTACCCTGACGGATATGAATATCCCGATGGTCGAATACCAGCAATGCCAAATAACTGGAAGGAGATCAATGAAACATTAGCTCGACCCCGACCCTCCCTTTCCCCATCGAAGTTCTCTGATGAACATTTCCGGAAATTCAAACGAGCAGATACCCACGCATCTAAAGAACAACCGGTCACAACGTCAGTGATTCCTATCATCGAAGGTGATGTTGATGATCCCAAATGCGCCGGAGGGGGATATCCTCTTGGAAATCTTGCCCCCTTAACTGATGGTACACTGGCTCAGGCCAAGCCAGATCACTTCTACGGTGCGCGTCCTGAACAGCTTGATCGTCAAATCCGCAGCGAACTTAGCGACCATATCATTCCCGCAACACAGGATGATCTTCCAATGGTTCCAAATTTCTTTTTGGAAGCAAAAGGCCCTGATGGATCCTTGGCTGTGGCTACACGGCAGGCATGTTATGACGGCGCACTAGGAGCTCGGGGAATGCACGCTCTCCAGTCATACCAACAAGACGGATCAACTTACGACAATAATGCTTACACTCTTACGTCGACTTATCATGGCAGTACACTCAAGCTATACACAACTCATCTCATCAAGCCCGAAGGCCCAGGCCGTCGCCCTGAATATATTATGACCCAACTCAATACTTGGGGCATGACTGGGAACCTGGAAACGTTTCGGCAAGGAGCATGTGCATATCGAAATGCTCGAGACTGGGCAAAGGAAAAGAGGGACGAATTTATAAGGACAACAAATGAAAGGCACTTAGAGGCTCAATCTCAACTTCTCCATTCTACCTCTCGGTGCCAGATAGCTTCCGAGGCAGCCCTTACCTTGGACGGCTCTGATGTATCGACATTATCTGACGAAACAGAGTACCAAGACGCGCAATGGAGCTTCGCGGATACAACCGAAGAAGGCGGAAGAGATTCTCATATTCTTAGCAGACATGCCAAGAAGCAGAGAGTTGGCTCCATTGTTCAAGGTGATGCAGCGGGTAATAAGACTACTCGGTGTCTGAATTGATGATAAATAGGGCTTGTCATGCACAGATGGAAACCATAACAACCAGGGCAGCTTCCCTTTTTGGGGTTGATCAAAGTCACAAGAATAGCATAATATTGATCGGAGTTTCTTCGCATAACTCTCGAAACCCGGGTTTAGGCCTGTTTGAATCCACATAAAAATAATACAATATGTTCCATATTCGTACAGCCTTTTCCCTTCTAGTTCGGCTAAAGCAATCGGTAAAGCCCCGCAGGTCATCTACTGAAGCAAGATCTAGTTCTCAATTTATATAGGTGCTGTACCCTTGGCACTAGACTGACTGGTTAGGTAAGTTAGATCCACTTCACTCAGATACTTTCCGGGTCGCTGAGATTTGCTTTGGTTGGGATGGCGCTCCTCCGCGGTTAATTATTCCGCATAGTCAGCCTTGTCCAATTATCCAGCGCCACGTATAACCCCTGCTTTATCACTTGGGACTAAATACATAATTGCTTGGGTCATTTTTGAGCACACTGCACTAAAAATGCCAAGAGACCAACAACACCCTCCTCCGAGCTCAACATCTCCCACAGATTTATGAAAAAGGGCACAAAGTACACTCATGTCGCAGGGGTGGTATGTCCTGCGATGTTACTTGTAAATGGGTGACTCATGAAAGGATACAGGGATGGATAGCGAACTTGAGGTCGCTCGGCGTATCGCAGGGATATTGTCAAGGTGGCAGGCTACAACGCATGTTGCATGAAATGATTGGTTCGCAGTGAACAAGGTCGAGTCGGTATCAAGCACCGCGCACAAGAATCGAGCACGACCGCTTTTTGCTCCTGAAAGCATGTCAGAGGACCCGGTGCGGAGCCAATGTGCTCCTCTACTGCTTGATCTTCTTCTTGGGGGGGAAGAATCCTCGTGGGGAGCGTCCTCAGGCAGCATCGTTCGCTTCGGTCGTCCTCGCAGGGGACCCACCTTCGAGGAAGTCGTCTCACCGCCTCCACCCCCTCATTGCGTCGCCGCCACTCGTCTTCCAGAGCATCCGAGGTGGGCCAAATCAGAAGCTTCACCAGGAGATGGATCTGTGCCGGTGGCAGCTCGAATTCCGTCCGTTTCATGGGTAGGTGGGCAGGGAGAGTGGCTGTCAAGATGGGAGGATGTCGCGCACTTAAAACGTGGGTTTGATTTATAATGAGGTGCCGTGATCCTCTACAGTTGTCCAAAAATGAAGGTGGCACCACTGAGCCTCCCTCTTCACATATCCTGTTAAAAAAATGATATCACATAAACCATAGGGAGTTGGGCAAAACGCATGCATCGATATTCAAGCCCAAACCACGGCCATCTGCTTATTTGTTCTTCTTGTTTTAGTCGATAAAAAAGGGCACGTCGGAATTCTAGGAGCCGGAGAACGGCAAAGGTGCGGGGAAACACACTGAAGATGCGGACGGACGTGGAGGCGATGATATAGGCGGTATTTTTGGAAGCCAAATCGACCGCATGTGTTCCGTTATGGATGCTCTCGTGAATTCATAACAGTGCTCAAGCCAAGTTTGCCAGTCCCAGTCAATCCATTCATGGAAATTCGCATGACGGCCCCAACCCTGATCCCATCGCAGCAATGGGGATATGGGAACACCAGGAAGGTATTTGGCTTTCCACTCGGCAGGGCTGTTTGAAGGAGTTCGACCAATCCCGCAATATCCAAAGTCAATGAGTACCACACGCCGATGAGCGCTATCCAGCACAAGAACATTCCTCGGGTGTATATCTCTATGTAATATATCATGAGCATACAGCATAGATTCTGCATCGACAATTGCCTTCAAAATATTTTGACGCTCTGACCGCGTATGGTTGGTTGGGTTGAGACGTTGCATTGAGATCCCGGGTACTTTTTCGATAAGGATTAACCGAATAGATCGCGAAGTTTTTTTATTCGGAATTGGCAGTTCAAGTGTAAAGGACCCATAATATTTTGGAATGACAGTTCCTTCAAGTGGATAAAGCAGTCGGTAGGCTGCGGTTTCATGAGAGTATGCTAGGTCCGTATAGCGAAAAGGATCCACATCATCTTGCTCATGGTCAAAGTAAAGGGGATCGTAGAGCTTAGCGACTAGATACTTATCAGTTGGTATCGAGTCTGATATATCTGGAGTCTTATCGACCATGTGGACGGTAACAAGTTGAGCACTGTGTTGGTCTCCTATTCTGACAGGTCCAACAACCTTTAGTCGAATAGTGCCCTTTCCAGTCAATCCAGGCAATGGAGGATGAAGTATGCAACGATCCACAGGATGCGTACTTTCCCTTTCCCGATGCCCCTCATAAGATAGGACGACCTCACCTGTTGCGGTATGAGGGTGGATGCAAAACTCTTGCCCAGGAAAGTAAGGTAATGGTGGCTTGGACTTGTTGTATCTAGCACAGTAGGAAGCACTCAGTTGATAAGTCATGGCTGCAAGATTGGAAATTTGGAAAATTAGAAAGGTCTGAGAAAGCAGCAGTTGCTGTTGTGGACATCAAAATGAAATGAACAGCTCGCTCGCACTTAACATGTATTTTAGCCCCACTAGTCCTGGACTAACCGGATTGGGGTACTAGATAGAGCTGGCGGGGAAGGTTGTTGGCGCGGCAAGAGCTAGCACCTAGCATGAGGGGTTGGGGGCTTAACTTTAGGCAGGCGGGTGCTTGGAGGTATATAGAGATACTTTAATCACATATTTCCTTCCCAGCTCCTCATTAGGATATGCGATGCTTCTCTTTAGTCTTACTGTCATTTTGCACTCTGGAGGTTACCCGATAAGGACACAGGATGCCGCAACAAACTGTGCTTGAATCCTTCTGGGAACCTCTTCCAAGTCTTTCTATTTCACCTCTCCCAAACAATGCCACTTACCGCACGATCCAGGCGTCTGCTCAATCAACAGTTGGCATGGATGCTCCCAAAGCTTTCATGCTAGAGAACGCAAGCATCCTTCTCCAGGTTGCGGGAAATCGGCTTCCCGCCAATGTATCTTCTCTTCAGGAGCGAATGCCTCAGGTGGAAAAGAGCCATTTACTTCATACAGAGTCAGATGTCATTCGTGCTTCTATCCAGTACCTCCTCCATCCTATTAATGTCGCAACTAGCCGATTGGTACCTTCTTCTGGTCGCCTTTTCTGCAGAAGCGAGGTTGGTACCTTCTTCTGGTCGCCTTTTCTGCAGAAGCGAGGCGCGTGAAGGCGGTGGATGTCGAACGGACCTCAGATGGATATACTGGAATGGCAGTGGATGGACCAACATTGCCGTGTTAGAATTCAAAAACACTCGAGTGCTACGTTGGAGCGATTTCAAAGACGCGGTGTCGGACCAAAACAATGCGAAAGCAATGGTGGGACTCAGCCTACGGCACACACCCGCACTACACGCATTTCACGAACAATGCTGTATGGCTGTCAAAGCAAGCTAGGAAATATGCTCAGAACACTGGAGCCCCGGACGTCGCCATCTTCGATTGGGACAAAATGTTTATATTCAACTTCTATGGTATGGCTGAGCATCTCCAGAATCCTGTACTCGCAAAAGGCATCTGGTTTGAAGAAGGCAACAGCAGCCAACAAGGTCACACTTTTCGAATGATCCTTTTTGGATTCCTTGTTCGAGCTTTGCAGAGGCAGGGCATTATCACATGAGCTATGGTTTAAAATGGGGTGCGAAGTTGAAACCAAATGCTGTCTATCTGGTCGGGATCACGTTGGTCATGATTGGTGGACCTGCTCTTTCTGTCATAAACATAATTTTCATTCGCCTGTGCAATGATGACGCTAAGACAGTGTTATTTAAGACACCAGTGATTTAGAGATATAATTCAATCATGTCAGATAGCCCATTAGGCCGTCATTCAAATTTCAGCGCCTTGAACAAACCGGAAGTGCAGCGGATTATGCATCGGAATTTCTCTGGCTCTCGAGCAAGATTTCACGTGAGACGCATCTCTTCTTTGTGGCAAGGAAGAGGGTTGGGAGAGCCAAGGGAGTAGATGAATATACACGGTTCAATGACGGTACATTGGCCTCTACCATTGCTTTGGACGATTCCTGGACGTGCGTAAGTGCAGCTGTCTACTCCGATTTCACCTAACGCCACCTACAGTGCTGCCCCCCTGGCCATCCATATCTCCTTTCAAGACCTCCGCTAATACCTGTAGCTGTAGACGCTGTTGATATTCTCGCTTAGTAGCATCCACGTTTTCTACGCTTCGAGCTGAGAGTAAGGCTCAGGGCGTGACGTAGCGTGAGAGTGCCATGGCAAAGTCGCGATTACCTCTTACACTAGTTACACACGACGCATTCGACTTTGAACATAGGTGGTCAAACGGACTGCGAACATCAGCTTGATGTTTACAGGTTGTTGAGGGGAGTTTCACATTGGTTCAGGACGCAATTTTGCACTGACTGAAGCAGGTTCCCGTAATTGGATGGTCCTTACTTCACCTTTGGTGTGAAAGAGTGTGATCCAGGCCATGGGCATATTTGGCCGGGACAGGGCTCCGATGATATGGAATTCGATGTATGTGATCTTGTCTCTGGAGGATTGTTGTATTTGGGCTGCTTCTGTTGCAAATGTACTGGTGTGGGACAAGCCAGAAAGAGGTTTATCATCTGACCAGTGACCGAATCGGGTCACCACTCCTCCGCTAGAGTTTTTATACTTGAAGTATTCCAAACAGGTTCTAATCACTTGACTTTGCAATCCAGATATACTGGCAAGACAAGCATACAAGACAACAATGAAACAAGGGTTATTCGCTAACTTCTATCTACCGAACCTATATTTAGCACTGCCGCGACTTTTTCTGACGTGATGATCTCCTAGGCTCTGGAAAAGGGGACCGTGCTCGCTTTCTCGCCTGAGACGCCCTTCTTGCGGGCCCGACGTCCAACCTCTCCTTGTATCGCTTGAGCTGATCTGGATGTACCTTCGCAATGTCATCCTCCGACCGCCATATGGGCGCCCACGGGAGAAATTCAAGATGTCCTTCCCTGGCCTCACGATGTAGCAGGATATGGGGTGAGCTTGTGTCTGGCTCAAGGTGGTGTGTGAAAGAGTCGCCGACTGTGGCATGGGTTTCCTTCGAGGGTCCGTCCTCGGAGATGTTATCCGGCAGTGCGGCGGAGATGGACCGTCGCGGCCTAGATGGTTCAACATTCTCCTTGTCGCTGCCAGCGCAGTCAAGACCTCCTGTATTCATTAATATATGCCCTCTGCAGCCCATATAGTATCAGGGAAACTCACGTTCGCTTGCAGTGACCGCCTTTGGCTCTGGTACTGGCTGCGCGGGTGCTGTTGGGCATGACCCCGGCTGTGGCTGCATCTGCGACTCCCCTTCTAAGTCCCGAATTGACGTTGCCTCGCTGTTCCTTCCATCACCAGTTTCACTATCGCACTCACGCTCGGTGTCGCCTCCAAGGGGTGATGTTTCTCGATCTTCACTGAGAGGTTCCGTGTCGTGTTTTTCATCCGTTCTATCATCCAGATCAATCGGGTTGTCCGGTGACGATCCAGGTTCACCGTCGGCCGAGCGAGGAAGGCACGGGGGACAAATCGTGACAGAAGTTGGTCAACAGTCGGGGGACTTGATCTAGGCGACCTCTGGGGATCATAGAAGCTCGCTGCCAAGGATTCTTGTTTGAACGCTGATCAGATTTTGGACCGACAATTCAGGGTTGTTGTACCTACCTGGAATCTCGCGTGCCGCAGCATGTTCCGGCAGAGAGGGTTTCATTGTCAGTGGAGAGTTGGAGTTACTGCTTGCAATGATGGGATATGAGGTGCGCTTGCTGTGTTCGTAGTACTCTGATATTTTTTAAAGCAACAATTTGGTCGGGAAGGTGGCACCTTTTATGTTTACGACGACCTCAACACGGGCGAATGAGAGAAATCCTGCTGATGCCATTCTACCTGCTCGCTTCCATCACATTTTCCCCGCAGGAAGGATCACCATGGTGCAGGAACATTGGCGCCATGGAGGGGAGGTCGGCCAAATCCTGGTAAAACAAGGCAGGAAAATGAGTGTCACCTACCACCTTGCGATACCAGCCGCCGTCCACGCAGAAAGTAAGGGGAGATCGTAATCCCTCTCGCTTTTTATTTCCTAAATTGTAGCACTGACTGAAGGGGTGCCAGATGATTGTCATGCAACCACAGCCGCTCCAATGCACGGCCTTATAGCATGAACACGAATTTCCAATAGGGGATCAGTCCGTTAATTCATCGAAGTGCGGATTGTGAAGATGGGGAAACTCGGACGTCGCATCACATTGTCACATCGTCCCTTTCTCTCCTGGTCGATTTTAGCACCAGGAGGCTGAGGCTGAAGTCCCTTTTCCAATGGACATCCGTCTTTGTCGAGTCAGTATCCTTGCTGCTGGTCAAGAGGAAACATAGCGTGACCGAGAATTCATCCGCACTGGGGCAGTTTGGATCATGTCCACGTCATGCATCGGTCACGCCGCGAGGCTTGAATCGTTGGGGAGATTTATTTCTTCATCTGGACATGTCGCCCTTGCAACCAACCTTCCAGACCCCGCACCCTGGTCAGGGCCTGACGCGTAATGGTCTGCGGCGCAGCAAGGCAGATACCGTTTCTGCCATGCGGAGGCATTTTTTTCATTGGCGTACCATCTCAACGAGTGGACGCCGCCCATCACCAGCGTGCACCACAGGTGAGAAACATTGGGTTTGCCGACCGATTGCGAAAGGGGGGGGGTTAAGGACAACAAGTACCAAGGCACAGAGAGGATGGGATTGACAGCGTTGATAGCGTGCAAACCCCAAAACATCAAATATAGGATGTAGAGCAATAGCTAGTCGTGTATGCGACAAGAAAATGAGATCAACAAAGTGAACAGGAAACACCAGCCAGCCACAGTCCCGAGCAAACCAGATATCCCAGTGGCGGGGTTCAGTCTGTGCATGGTTGTGGGCAACTTGACAGTAGATTGAGGCGAAATTGCATCGGGGAAGAAGGGAAGTTGACATGGTCACCATGTCGAGAACAGTTTCAGCTGCGGCACAGCCGGGCCAGGTGACACTAGCGGTGGGGGCCAAGGGGTAGGGATGGGACGGCACACACGAGACAAGAGAATTATGAGGAAAGAAAGGGAAAATAGGGACGATGGAGAGAGGATGTTCGAGCGGCGGGAGGAGGGGGTTTATATAGCCCAGAAAGCAGCAATGTTGCGCTAAACTCGATCAGGATTGCGCTAAACCATAGAAGGCAATTCCCCATGATACGGTATACCCCGGTATTCGCTTGCTTACTGTACTTTGTGCTTCGAAGGCCAGTAGAAATATACGAATTTGCCAATATGGGCTAGTAAGATATTCTCGTATCTAAGTTTAACAATTGGTACGCCGTAACATTTTGTTGGTAGGTTTCCGTGGAAGTGTTTTTGAGCATCAAATTCAATTCGATGCCGCCATTGTTTTTTTTTTTTTTTTTTAGACCACATCTGTCTGATGGGTTGTGAATCTTTATCACCCTAACCGCCCAATGGAAGCCCATGTGTGATCTAGAAGCCGATTTGCTTTAGATGACGGGGGGGAAAAAAACTCGTCACCTTGCCATTTGGAGATCAAGTTCAATGGCCGGCTGCATGTAAGGCCCGCCAAGCGAGCTGTTGGGCACCATCGACCCACCAACTACTGGAAACAGCCTGCAAGTCGCAGTCGCTGTTCAGAGTGCAAATGGCAGCTCTGGTCTCCGCTGCAGCATTTTTGATGATGAGAACCAACCCAATTCAAGCTTGATGAGAGCAGCGCGAGTTCTAAGCGAATTAAGGAAGCAGGGAGGTAGAGCACTGCCTGCAGGCCCCTTAAATCACAGGGCGTGAGGTATTTCAACGACTCTGACTTGTGGGAGGCGTTTGCCCTTTCGTGATTTTGGTTTTTGGTTTTTCTTGCTCATCTCACTGAGGTATTTTCACAAGGCGACGGACGCAGCCCAGCCGTATTGTTGTTTCGGAGTGGGAGAGGTATTCCTTGTAACTCGCTGTATAAGCAGGAGAGGCCTTGTCCCAGCTTGATTGGAGAAAGGTGTGCTATATTGGCGGACGAGCAGGTTCCCCTCACACATTGATGCATGCTTTTGGATGGATGGATGGAAGAACCGTTCCCCTTTCCACTCTCCAGACATCCTATCGTGCTTACGGAGTACCATATTGGAGAGGAGTAGTAAGCTATGCATGTCGAGCCTCAAATGGAAATCCCGGAAGGTGGCATGGGTGTTACAGTGCTTGTATGCTTTGGCGATGGATGAATGGATGAGTGGATGAGTGTACGGAGTAGGGCGTAAGACATACATAATACAATACATGGAAAATACGCGCCTTTTGTCATGAGCCGGTCGATTCCATCGCTTGTCCCTTTTGGCTTGTCTTTTTGCCTCTCTTGTTTCACAGTCCGACACAGTCCGACACAGTCCGGCCAGCCTCCTGTTTGGTACCTGCGAGGCTGAGTGTACTGTAAGTAACGGGCTTGAAATTTGCATGGTCAGGTGCGTAATATATTCTTGTCTGGCACGAGTCGTGCGTACTGTATGTAATAATGGCGTGTACTGTCTGTCGCGCTAGGCCGAAAGAAGGTCAAACCCAATGACCTGACCACAACCTGCACGCCAACTCATCCCTCACCGACATCAAAACCTCTCTCCATCTCAACCTCGTCCATTCATCCTCCAACCGTTCAAACTTGCTTCCGTCGTGAAGGAGTTTCCCGTGTTGAAGGTTCTTATCCTCTCCAGGGGCTTCCTCTTTATGTCGTGCTTTCCGCCAACTTCCTAGCACACACCCAACCTCCTCAGCCCTTTAAGCACGACTCTTTCCCCTCTTCATCTGTTAAGTTCGCTCCCTCCCCAGGCTCTCTTCCCGTTCTTTTAAATTGATCTCCAGATCCCCAAATCTCTCTATCGTGAGTCAAACTATTCCTTCCTAGTTCCTTTATTTTGGTTGGGCCACGCCAGAATTATTTCTCTCTTGTTCCCAGTCTGCAGTTCCTCCTCTTTCTCTAAGCGCCGTACACTCAGGACCGGCTTGGCTTGCCATTCTTGGCCTCATTCAACCTCTGATAGAGACCATTCACGCACCACCCATTGCCTGTTGAATACTAACTTTACTTCACGTTTAGTTCCAAGTCATCTCTCGACCTTCTCTTCTTCATCTTCTTTAATTTCCGTCCCCTCTCTTCAAAGTCGTCCTTTTACTTCCTTTATACGCGTTAACGTTCTGGAAGTACCGACAGCTTTTTCAACGACACTATCCAATAAACCCTGCAACTCCCATTCTCCTCAGAAAAACAGCGTCAAGCTGCATCATTCCTGTCACGATGACGACAATGGTAGGCGATTTAACTGTTGGTTTGAGTGCATTGCTAGGCTCAAACGACAAATATTTTTAATCAACCCTCACCTATCCCACCTGGGACACCATGTTGACAACCTCCTGTCATGTATACTAATGTGTTGTTGGCAGGACCTCCGTGTCGGTAACAAATACCGGATTGGCCGTAAAATAGGCAGCGGCAGCTTCGGTGACATTTATCTCGGTAAGTACTAAACTGTTGCATCCGTTGGAACATGTTTCTAATCCCCAGATATCTAGGCACCAATATCATTTCCGGAGAAGAGATCGCTATCAAACTTGAGAGCGTAAAGGCCAAACACCCACAGCTTGAATATGAGGCCCGTGTCTACAAATCTCTGGCCGGAGGCGTCGGGATTCCCTTTGTTCGCTGGTATGGCACCGAATGTGACTACAATGCAATGGTCATCGATTTGCTCGGCCCCAGCTTGGAAGATCTATTCAACTTTTGCAACCGCAAATTCTCCCTGAAGACCGTCCTTCTGTTGGCTGATCAGCTTATCTCCCGTATCGAATACATCCATGCAAAATCTTTTATTCACCGTGATATCAAACCGGACAACTTCTTGATGGGCATTGGGAAACGTGGCAATCAAGTCAACGTGATCGATTTCGGTCTCGCTAAGAAATATCGTGACCCAAAGACCCACTTCCACATTCCGTATCGTGAAAACAAAAACCTGACTGGCACTGCGCGATATGCCAGTATCAATACTCACTTGGGAGTGGAACAGTCTCGTCGTGATGATATGGAGTCCCTTGGCTATGTCATGCTGTATTTCTGCCGTGGATCTCTTCCATGGCAAGGGCTGAAGGCCGCTACCAAAAAACAAAAATATGACCGCATCATGGAGAAAAAGATGACCACCCCCACTGAGGTTCTCTGCCGCGGATTCCCCAACGAATTCTCTGTGTATTTGAACTACACTCGGTCTCTACGTTTCGATGACAAGCCGGATTATTCCTACCTCAGAAAAATCTTCCGCGACCTGTTTGTCCGAGAATCCTTCCAATACGACTACGTATTTGATTGGACCGTTTACAAGTATCAGAAGAATGCACAAGCGATTGCTCAGGCAACTGGTAACCAAGCTGCTGATGATGAGGAAAAGCACCGTCGTCATCCTGCCAACCCTCAGAATCCTCAGGTAAAGCCATCGGCCCTTGCGGCTCCCCGTCGCAAGGTTGTGGAACGCATCCCAAGTGGAACTGTCGATACTCCCGACTCAAATCGCGCCGTTGGGGGAACTGAAAGGATGTGAGTATATGCAACAATCTACCGCTTCGAGGAACTGATGCTGGCCATGGGATTTTGATTCAAGAATCTGACTAATCTCATAGTCTTCGGCGTTAGGCTTCGTTCTGCTTCTAAGGGTGTTAATGCGGGTGCTGGCTACACCAGTACTGCTTACCACCGTTCGAAGCGGGATGATGGTACTGGTGCTAATTGGTACTGATTTATTTTGCGAGCGGTGGTTACTTCGTCCTTTCTAAGTCTCGGATTTTCTTTGTGGTGTGGTAATATGCAAGCATCTGACATATTTGCCCACTAAGCCCTGAGACTTTTTCCTCGTTCTGAATCCCCTCCATTTTTATGGTGCGTTTAGCCATTTGTTCAGTCATTTCTCGACCTCGGTTATTTGTAATCCATGGATATCGTCGCTTCGGCCCTTCGCCCCATCGCAGTCAACTTTCGCACGATTAACCCTGCGCCGGCGACTTTTAACCCTGTCGAGTTACTATTTATCATGGAATAACTGGATGCAGGCTCTCAGAACATATTTTGTCTCCCTTCCTTGGCCCTTTCGGTTGCGCTTTTCGATGAAGATTATTCACTTTGTTCAACCATACAGTCAGGGAAGTGGTACACGCTCTCTAAAGGGATTTCCTAAGCGATTACCACAATATGGTTCTATCAGCCATCGGTTTCTCCTGGGTTCCCAGAAATGTAGCCCAGATTTTCTCCCCTTCCTAGTAATCATCTTTTGTTCAGCCCACATTTCCCACATCCTAAATTGTCATTTTTTTGTTTTTCTTTTTTCCTTGTGATGCACTTTACGTTTGACGAAAGCAAAGGGGACGAGCAACATTTAACAACGTGGAGAGGGTATGTCTGAGGAGAACGGATAATGATTTCCTGCTTCCCCGTTATCAGCTCATGATTAAATTGGTGGAAATTATTATTCTCTTCAACTTCGACGCGACGCGGAACTATTCCGCGCAGATGCCTCCTCTGCTCGGGACAATGGCGACGGATTTATGGCTTAGGGTCGCTTCCGGGGTGGTATTTCGTCAAACGTGTTTCCTATGCTTTGGATTCGTATTTCTGACTTGTTGCACTTCCTGTTTCCGCAATTTTTCATTTTTTCAAGGAGAAGAGAGGCCTAGGTAATGAGGGAGAGAGATGTGAAAGACGATTCTGGGGTTTTGCAACAGTGTTGGGATACACACGCGTCTGGGGAGGTTCATGAAGGCCAGAAGGTGATGCTTTTTCTTTGACATGCTTTTTTAATTGCACCCTTTCTTTCCTTCACGAATTATTTATCTACTTTATCTTCGTTCCCTCTTTTAACTACATATCTGTTAGCAATGCCAACATATTTTTTTTCTCAATTGCATCTCCGTAAAATCCGTACTGATTTGGACTTCCCATAAGTTTTCACTTACCTCGATTGTAAAGTTGGAAGGCGTTGCTGGATGCACTCGATGTGAGCAGGGGCACGCGTGGAGGTTGAAGTGGGAGTATAGGCGAAACCCCACACACCACCAATACAATTCAGCAAGAGAAAATCGAACAGTCGAATGCGTATGTTAATAGCCAAATTCAAACCGAATACTAAACCTATATTTGACGTGGGGTGAGGCTCGGTTATTCCTGTGACAATAAAGGCTAATAATGTATTATTCGAACCGCAAGCGACCGCATTTTCCAGAAATCTTATTTGTTTGAAACAACCAGTGAAGGGATGCACTCACTGTATTACTAAATTTTGATTTGCCAATTTTTTTAACTCTTTGTAAACTTCCTTCTTCGCTGCTGCACTGCTGCCCAAAATGTTCTATGACTCAAGCTAGAACTCTTCCACCTGGCATTTCAGTGTTCCGATCTTGACGTAGTCTCGAGCTGTTGCGGCTGAGTGAAATTTGGGCAGGCAAAACTGCGTGTGCGGCGTGTTGTTCGTATGTATATTTAGGGTAAAGGTGAGTAATTTGGATTCAATGACATCACTGGTCGTCGGCCTGCGTGCCCAACTTGAGGTCAGGGCGTGTCGTGCATATGCCGTAAATTCGTTCATTCTAAGGTTGATGTTGATCCCAAGCCGCTGTCGGTTGAGGGGCGACCACGAATACTGACTGGTTAAAGGGCCATTGAATCCAGGTCTATGATTTTGAAGGATTGTTTGTTTAATGGGCCGTTCGGATGAGCTGACATTGCTGAGAAACATTCATCGAATCGATGAGGGGTTGGGGACTTGAAAGTTTCGTTACCTTTAGAAAGTAATGGATGCTTGTTATTAACAGGGAGCGTAGATGTATTGGAAAGATTAGAGAAGCAACCAAACACCCCAGATTCTAGTGGTAGTAACGACGTGGGAGGTGGCTGTGGTATATAGATAAAAATATATAGGACATGATCATGGAACCAATTATATGAAACTAGAGAGCGAACCGTATGTAAACAGTATGTATGTATATATCCAAGGGAAATGGAGACAAAAAATCATATATCATCTCAATCAGGTCAAGAATTCCATTGTGCCCAATCAAAATCCATGCCGACGTCAAAAGTCCCATATCCCTCCTCCCACAAAATCGCATCACCCATTGGGTTCTCAAAGGAGAGAAGCTCCTCCGGAACAATGAAGCCGCTATCACCAGACATAGGAATAGGAGATGCTGACTGCTGCGCAGCTAGAAATGCAGCAAGCGGGTCATCTATTGATATATGGGGAAGTTGAATCGGCTGGGATTCAGGCCGATGCTCGGTAGGCGGAGTTTCTGGCGGCGCCAGTTCAGCTGGCTGGGGGGACATATGCTCGTGCTCCGGTGCTGCGGACGCAGGCTTATCGCCAGATTCCGTAGGTGATGGGATCACGGTATGGTAGAGGCTGAGCAGGAGACGATGGAGGGATCGAATGTGCAAATTACCCTTCTCTGCCATGCCGTTGAGCACATCAAGGGCAAGGACCATTGCTGCGCGGTCTCGCAAGTTGTATGGGAAAGCAATGTTGATCATAACGAGGATTATTGCGGCGGAGAAGGCATGTTCGCCGTCCATATAGCCATATGTTGCTAGGTTTTGCGTCAGTCTTTCGTAGCCAGAGTATAAGGGACAAGGATAAAACAGAGGTTAAGGAAGACAGATATAGTGGGAAGCACCTATGAGGTTTTGTTTCGCAGCAGTGGCCATTACCGCTGCGCTATTCCGAGCTGCAGCGACGCACGTTTCCACAGCTAATACTGTGCTCTGTTGCAGGCCTTCTTTCCAATCCGGCCATTCTCCCGTCTTTTCGTGATTCTGAAGACATTTCCGAACCACATTGAAGACCAAGGGGCGAACTGTCATATTGATACACTGTGAGTAGTGCAAAAATATCGACACAGACTGGCGTGATATTTCAGCATCCAGATTTGTAAAATCGCACTGTAGTGTCTGGGGTAGATTTGACTGCCACTGGGTTAATTCTGCAAGGATAGACTGTACCGAGCTCACGAGATTGTAGGCGGTGGTGCGTGGTGTGCGATATACGTCTGCGTGTTGACTTAGCATCAAGTCTCATACCAGCATTGACGTGCAGCTCACTTTTCATGATTCTACCTAGAATCCTAGATAATTCAGTGTAATGAAAAAGGACAGCGGCTGGTCCTAGATCTGGTTCATCAGACTGTAATTTATTAGGATGTAAGTAGAGACTTGTGAGTCGTGAGCTGCGGGAACCACATACTAGACGGGAAGGGGGAAAAACGCCGATATCCTCATCCGCGATCGTGAGTGAATTCCCTGATTTCACGCAGAGAATCCTACGCCATTGTCAGCAGAAGAATGCTTGAGAATTTCTGTCGCATAAATACCTATCCAGACTGTAAACAGACCACCAAAGTCGTCGGCGATGTTCACGATCCTGGTCGTCTAAGCTGTCATCAGAGACTTCTTGGTGCAAACCTAGTAGTATGGCCATTCGAAGCGCCAATTCAATCTATCAAATACGTTACTGTGATGCTTTTCATGGCTTCTAGAAGATGAAAGTGAATAGGTTACATATAAGGACGCTGCATCTCTCCGGTTCAAATTCTGAAAGAAATATCCAACCAAAGAGAGAACTTCGACAAAAGCCGCTGAAGGTTGCTCGTGTATTGCAGGAAGGAGACTCATAGCATGCTGAAAGTACTCAAACCCAGGGGGCCCATCATAGCTTGTCCATTGATTGATGGAGTACATTTGGCCGAATGCAAGAATTATGAAGATCTGACAATATCGTAGACAGTCGCTCTTGTTCGTAAAATCGACCTCTCGATCATACATTTCACGAATATTCTTCTCGAATGTTTCTGGTGAAGTAAACGAGAAAATTGTGCCAATGTAGGAATACTGTGCCGCATAGAGCCGTTTCGCAAATGGAAAAGGTGGAAGCGAAGTAGTGAATGGTTTGGCCTGATGCGCATTCGCACGAATAGAGAAGTTAGAACAGCTGTTATACGCTGGAGTTATGAAATCTTCTCCGATATCGAGCCCCGTTTTAAATGACCTGACGAAATCAAGAAACTTTTTCCCTAGGCTAGCAGATGAAGAATTGCCAATATAACCTATTTAAATTTAAGCCTCTGGCCTTTTAGGAATAGTAAAAAAGGAAAGAGAGAGGAAGAGAGAGAGAAAACGAACGTTTATCCCCCTCAGGACTGATGACCAGGTGAGCTATCTTTTCAGTGAGCGGGTTGCCATCAATGTCATCTTCATTCGTGGTCGTATGTGGCTCAGAATTGCCAGAGAGAGTAGTTGCAGGAGGGTCCTGTTGATGTTGATAGTCAAGGGGGACCACATCTAAAGATTTCTGACGCCCTGCGCCATTATTATGACCATTCTCGTACTCTTTAAGTCGAGTTTCCAGCTGTACAAGATATCTACTGACTGTCAGAATAAGGATACAAATCCATCAGCGGAAAATACTAGGAGAATCCAATATCTCACGCTTCAGGGACTCGGACAGTCTTCTGGGCATCCGGGTAAGTGCATGTCCGACCTGCGACTGAGCAGGCTCTGCAAGCCAACCTGCCATTTCCACCGAGGCATTTCGTCTTGCGTTTTCTACAATAATTGCATCTGTGACAAGGATAAGTAACATGCAGAGAAACAAGACAATTAGAAGCAACTACACCTACGCTATGGGGGCGCGGCAAGGACGGTCCAAATTAACAGGTCTCGAGAGCATAAAACGTGACATATCTGAATATAATCTTTAGGGGCACATTGCCAGAGAATATATTGGAGCTGTTGGAGATGATGACCTCCATTTTATATTTATTTTGCAAAGGAGTAAAGGGCTGCTTGGCGGGGGTGGGGTTTGGTGGCTGCAGAGACCGAATCGATCTATTTTTCTTACGCTAATTAGGGTCAGTAGACGTACGCTGTAGTCAAGCAAACTTTTACGACCAATTTTTGATTGGCACAGTGAATTTCTATTTGTTTTGGGATGTGATTTCCCCTTTTTAAAGGGTGTCCGAAGAATGATCACCATCTCCAAGAAAATGATATTTCTCAATGGAAATACATCTAGCCACAATACCGCTTCATTGACGTAAAACCCATAAGCTTGGATTAGATGCCTTCACGACTTTCTTTGGACTGACACTCCGAATCTCGGTGATGGGGACTTGAACATATAGAGGTATGGTGGGCTCAATGCGGGCGACGTTGATCTTTTAAGCTAATAGTAGAGAGGCCGAATAGGGGATCACTACTAGTCTCCCTGTAGTATCGATTGATAGAAGTGATGTACGGCTTATATTATATAGTTAGGTCTTACAGAATAACTAATATTCAAAGGTCATCTCAACTTGATATACAGATATGTACTGAATGCAGAGAACTGCTGATTTTGAATAGACTGGGCTTTCTGCCCAGCTATTTTCAATTTTGTACTTGACAATAGAGCCCTATATTGAATATGAAATAATAACTTATCAATATATTTCTTAATACCACTTAATTAACATGTTGAATTGGTGCATGGTCTACCAGGATTGGTTTGTCAACTGACTTCTGAGCTTGCTGGGACGACTGTATCTGAGCCGCAACTACTAGTATCCAACTATGAAAGACAGACGAAAAGCCGCAACTTCGTAGGGGTTTTTTTTCTTCATATTTTCCCCAAGGCTGTATGCAGTCAGAGGCGATGACAGCCTGCCTATACCTCACTAGCCTACCCTTTTGTTCGGCCTCGAGTTACGTTTCTCGATTCATACCCGGGCCTTGCCCACAATTGCTCCTGCAATGCTAAGCAGTCCCTTGTCACTTGAACGGATATGTAAGGATCACAGCACCTTAGGTTCCCACACTATACTGAATCCATCTAGACTATTTTCATATTGACAACTTCGGAGGTGACAATGGTGCCACCTGGCTGTCATTACGAAATATGGGCCCTACCAGCAGCAGCTTGCCCAAGTACCCATAAACTCGGAGGCCGGGCATCTCAGTCCCGATAAAATACTACCCTGCACTATTTGTGAAGATTTTTCTGGAGTCCAACTAACCACATAACAGGAGTCTTGAATTATAATGGGTATGCCGCGTATCTTCCGTTACGCTAGGGCAGGCCCCTCAATCGAATATCGGAACGATGCTCCTGCGGCTCTTGGAACGAGTCTCTACGATGGCTATGCCCAATCGCAATCGATAGCGTGGCTCGTTCTTGGGCTGGAAATGAGAGTATCACCGGGGCAGTGGGGTGGGTGTATGGGGAGTTCGGAGCTATCAACTTGTGACAGCGTCGTCGGTATTGCCCCCCGATCCATCATAGGGCAACCCTAGGTTATTTTGCCAGCTTCGCGGGTGGTGTTACCCATGTCGCCTTGTCCTTCGGGAACATACTTCCCGTTTTCTTTAAATTCTTCCGCTAATACAATTTGGTGGTTATTATAACCTGAGTTTCTACGCGCTGTTTTGACTCCTGTTTGCTCGCTTGAATCCCTCTCGTAGCGAAAGAATAGCCTATGACTCGCTAACTATTTATGAGATGGGATTTATTAGGGCAAGAGAGCCCGATCACCACTAGCGCCACGTTGGTAGTGGAGGGGACGAGCCAATCCAAACCTCTAAAAGGATTAACGTTGAGAGTTATGAGGAGACGATGCCTGAAATGGTTCAAGTTGTTGAAAAGAATCTCCTGGCAAGTGTGATATATTTCTACTGGGTTATGCTGTCCTACCTTTAGGGCATCCTGGGATTTTCGGTGTTGATAAGTTCAAGTTCTTTGCCCCATCGACTACTTGTCACGGACGCCGGAGACTTTGTACTGTACATCACGAAATTGCGTGCCAAGTGCGCTCTTTTTCAAGGGTCCAATTGTCTGTCGCAGAAAGCAACAGGCTAGGAGACTTTCGAATTTCCTTGTGTCTCCTGCTATCACAGAGGAGGGGGGGGGGGGGGTTGATCGTATTTTCGCCTATGAGAATTTATTCCTGGATGGACTTCGGAACTCATTGTTGGAGTTTGATATTCTCGATATTCAACTGACTCTAGCTATGCTGTACTATTCAAGCTCTCTAAATTTTAACCTATTTCTGTTATGGATTTTGTCCTTGGTTTTACCTCCATCGTGTAAATTTAGATGGAGAAATTTTTCGGGCCGTTACCTCTTGACTACTCCGTACTGTGTAGCTCTAATCTCTCCGATCCTAACTGAAATATAGTGTCCTGATCTTAAGGTGTTCAAAACTCCAGTTTGCCATCCCTGTGCAAACTACATGTAAGTTGCCAGTTTATTAAACCCTGGAGTAGCTGGGAGGATTACAGGCAGATCTCTCCGTCCTGAGGCTCTCTCGGTCGACAAAGGAACGCTAACGCACTGACAAAGTTAATATTACCTGGGACAGTGGGGCTGATCTTATCAGATCGGTATATCTTCCCGATCCCACTCGGACGACATAAAATGGCGATGGAAGGGGCATTTCCATTTTCTCGCAGAGCGTCGTCGGTCCTGGATTCCTGGATCCAGACCGTGATGAGGATCTGATGATTTCTAATGATCTATAATTGCCAAGCCGTTGTGGATGCCCTTTCTATATAAATAGTCTATGATTTTCTCGGTTGCAGACTCATCGCCAGCACTTCCAATTTTTTTACCGTCATCATCAAGAATACAGCCGGTATAATCCCCTCCTTGACACCTTTGGGTAGAATCTAAGCACCCGTCCTCCTGGACAGCCAGTCGGCCATGTCATCCCAGCAACAGCCCCCCAGAGTCAGAATCTCAATAGATCGAGGCGGGACGTTCACTGACGTCCATGCGTCAATCCCGGAACGTAGTGATATTATCCTCAAACTTCTCTCTGTCGATCCATCAAATTACAAAGATGCCCCAACGGAAGGAATCAGACGCGTTCTGGAGATCGCCACAGGCAAAAAGATACCCCGTGGGCAGCAACTGGATCTTGCACCTATCGAATCGCTTCGGATGGGCACGACCGTCGCGACCAATGCATTGCTAGAAAGAAAGGGAGCGCGATCCGCACTGCTCATTTCGAAAGGATTTAAGGACCTTTTAGTCATCGGGAACCAGTCTCGGCCAAATATTTTCGACCTTTCCGTCGCCAAGCCTGGAGTGTTATATGAAAGGGTTATTGAGGTTGATGAGAGAGTAACCCTGAAAGGATATGCGGAAGATCCCGATCCTCAGCCAATAGAGGAAGCGGAAGATGTCGTCAGAGGAATTACTGGAGAGTATATCCATATCCTTGTCAAGCCGGATATGGAAAAAGTCAGATCTGACCTACAATTGTTATGGGATGAAGGATATCGGTCGATAGCCGTGGTGTTGCTTCATTCATATACATTTCCAGAACATGAGAAGTTAATTGGGCAAGCCGCTAGTGAGATGGGATTTTCTGTGGCTATATCCTCGGAACTGCAGCCCATGATAAAGGCAGTGCCTCGTGGTATGAGTGCCACGGCGGACGCATATTTAACCCCGATAATTAGAGAGTATGTCGACTCGATATCATCAAATTTTATAGGAGGACTTGCGTTTGGAAGCACGCGGTGCGAGTTTATGCAGTCGGATGGCGGATTGGTGGACTTCCGAAAATTTAGCGGTCTGAAGGCTATCTTGTCTGGACCAGCAGGTGGTGTGGTTGGATATGCAGAGACTTCCTGGGATGACGACGAGCAAATTCCTGTCATAGGATTTGATATGGGTGGAACAAGTACAGATGGTATGTGTTGGCTCTACTGCTTTTGTAATTCCCAATTATCCAATTTCTTTCTAAGACGACTTCATTATAGTATCCCGCTACTCGGGAGTCTACGACCACGTCTTCGAAACCACAATTGCCGGAATTTCCATTCAATCCCCCCAACTAGACATCAACACCGTCGCGGCCGGGGGCGGCTCGATCCTTTTCTGGAGGAACGGTCTTTTTGTCGTGGGACCAGAGTCGGCCTCCGCACATCCAGGGCCAGCTTGTTACCGAAAAGGGGGACCCCTGACCGTAACTGATGCCAATCTTTTCTTAGGTCGATTACTGCCAGGATATTTTCCAAAGATTTTCGGACCAAACGAAAATGAGCCTCTTGACGTGGAAATCACTCACCAAAAGTTCACAGAATTAACAAAAAAAATTAACAGTGAACAGCGCTCAAAAGGGTGGAACGAATTTACGCCGGAGGAAGTGGCCCTGGGATTCCTGTCAGTTGCTAACGAATCTATGTCGCGGCCAATTCGCGCATTGACAGAGGCTCGTGGATACGACACATCTGTTCATCATCTCTCTTGTTTCGGTGGTGCTGGTGGCCAGCATGCTTGTTCTGTTGCATCTGTTCTCGGAATCTCTCGTGTCATCATCCACAAATACTCTTCAATCCTGTCGGCTTATGGGATGGCCCTCGCAGATGTAGTGCACGAAGCGACGCAACCAGCCTCAGAAGTTTTTAACCAGTCGACTGAACAAGAATTTTGTTCCAAATTGGAGGCGTTGGCTAAAACTTCCATAGCTGAGCTGGAAAGTCAAGGATTTTCACGCAATAATATCAGGCATGAAATGTATCTGAATATGCGATATGAAGGTACCAGTACGGCGCTTTATGATTCTAAAAGGCGATAGCTGGGATTTCGGTGCTGAGTTCAACAAACGGCATAAACTCGAATTTGGTTTCCTTTCACCTGATAAACGGATTTTTGTCGATGATATCCGGGTACGGAGCATTGCATCGTCTTCGCGGCAGAAAGAGAGCAGCCCATACGCGCAGGTGAGTATTTGGTAGATACACCCGGCCGAAGCAATCTCCTTTGCTAACTGTCTCGCAACCAGATCAAGAAAACTACTTTCAACGAGGTTTCAGCGACGGATGTCAATGAGAGGGCAATTGTCTATTTCGGTGCGGAATACGGACGGGTCGCGACACCCGTGCTTAAGCTAGAAGAACTCTCGGAGGGCTCGCGCATCCAAGGCCCTGCGATGATCATCGACCAAACGCAAACGATAGTCCTCGTCCCTGGAGCAGTGGCAAGCATTCTGGGAAGTTGCGTGGTGATCGACCTCAAGAAGAAAGCGCCCGCGCTCGATGGGTTAGCAACAGCGTCGACAAGCACTGCTAGCATCAGTCCCATCCAATTATCAATATTCGGTAACCGGTTCATGTCCATCGCTGAGCAGATGGGTCGAACACTGCAGAAGACTTCTGTTTCGACCAACATCAAAGAACGCCTTGACTTTTCGTGTGCACTGTTTTCACCTGATGGAGGCCTCGTGGCTAACGCACCTCACGTCCCTGTACATTTGGGTTCGATGCAATTTGCAGTCCGATACCAGCACAAATACTGGGAGGGCAAGCTGGAGGATGGTGACGTTCTGATTTCTAACCATCCGACCTGCGGCGGGACCCATTTGCCTGATATTACGGTCATCACGCCCGTTTTTGAGAATGGCGAAATTGTGTTTTACGTCGCATCCCGTGGCCATCATGCAGATATCGGAGGGTGTCTTCCTGGTTCCATGCCCCCAACAAGCACGGAGCTATGGCAAGAAGGGGCCTCCATCGAAGCTGAAAAATTAGTTACCGGAGGACTCTTCAATGAAAAACGGATGATAGAGTTGTTATTGAAGGAGCCGGCGCAGTACCCTGGTTGCTCTGGTACCCGATGTCTCCAGGATAATTTATCCGATCTCCGGGCACAGGTTGCCGCCAACCAAAAGGGCATATCTCTTATCAATGGGTTAATCAAGGAATGTGGATTAGAGCGTGTGCATACATATATGTACGCAATCCAAAGTACGGCCGAAATCGCCGTGCGAGAACTTCTCAAAACCACCGCCAGGACATTGGGCTCCACGCTCGAAGCTGTTGACCGTATGGACGATGGAACACCGATTGCCCTGAAGATTACGATCGATGGCGAGAAGGGGGAAGCCGTGTTTGATTTTGCAGGAACGGGTTGTGAGGTTTTCGGCAATACGAACGCTCCACCAGCCATCACCCATTCGGCAATCATTTACTGCCTGCGTTCGTTAGTGAAATCCGATATCCCTCTGAACCAGGGATGTTTGAACCCCATAGACATCCGAATTCCTCCCCGAACGCTGCTGTCACCATCCAAGGGCGCTGGCGTTGTCGGAGGAAACGTGCTTACATCGCAGCGAATCACGGATGTCGTCTTGAAGGCGTTCAACGCCTGTGCTGCATCGCAAGGCTGCTGCAATAACCTCACTTTTGGAACGGGTGGCAAGACAACAAACGCAGAACACGTCAATGGATTTGGGTACTACGAAACAATTGCTGGCGGCAGCGGAGCGGGGCCAACGTGGGATGGACAGAGCGGCGTGCACACGCACATGACTAACACGCGCATTACCGATCCAGAAGTCTTCGAGAAGCGCTACCCATGTCTCCTCCGGGAATTCTCCCTCCGAAAAGGGTCGGGGGGTCGGGGCTCACATCCTGGTGGCGACGGTGTGGTGCGCGATATTGAGTTCCTCATTCCTATCCAGTGTTCGATATTGTCCGAGCGCAGGAGTCATCAGCCCTACGGCCTTCAGGGTGGAGGCCCCGGTGAATCAGGGAAGAATTTGTGGGTTAGGCGTGATAAAGCTACAGGCGACGAAATGGTGGTTAGCCTTGGAGCAAAGGCAACCGTGGCGATGAGTAAAGGCGACAGGATCGTCGTGCACACTCCTGGTGGCGGGGCTTGGGGTAGCGTGGACGAGAAAAGAAACGTGAATAAGATTGTACCTGATCAATTCTTGGCGAAGGGATCAGTTGATAGATATAGGGCGATTCAAGAAACGAATTGAGTGGATGCAAAGTTATAAATGCGATTGCCCATACTATTTTACGAGACGAAGAGTCAAGTATTTCCCTGGATAACGAAGTTAACTTGCTAATAATAATCTATCAAATTTCCTACTGCATCCTACCAGGGACGCATGAATTGTGAATACAGCTTGTTATAACTTACCTAGCCTATTTCCCAATTTCTTCTTCCCTTCATTGGTACATCAACAAGAGCCAGCCTACGAGCGATCGGGGATTTCCCAAAATGGGTATTTTTATACACAAAGACCAAAAGGAAGACCAAAACCTATCATTAGAGTACTTTGTAAACCCAAATGAAATTAAAAACAATGATATCATCAGCTGCCAAATAAGTAGGTAAACATACATATAAATGGTATATATATATATATATATATATATATATATATATATATATATATATATATAACGAACAGAGAACTATCTCGAACAAAAGTTAAAAAATAGTGAGGGATATCAAATCAGATAGTGGAAGGCACGACGAACAAAAAAACGAAAGAAAAAGAAAGAAAAAGGACAAAGACACGGAAAGATCTAGCGATATCTGCCAGAACAAACTAGTAAAAACAACAGAAATGAAAGAATGAGGATGGAAAAAAAAAAAAAAAAAAAAAAAAAAAAAAAAAAAATTCACAGACCCAGGCCCGGAAAAGAAGAAGGGAACTAGGCTGCATCAAAAGAACCAGGGCAAAAAATGATGAAGAAAGCGAAGGATGAAAAGGAACGCATTCCTGAAACCACGGCCATATAGAGGAATGGCCAGGTAACGAAATTTGGAGCGAGGGGCAAAATAGTGAAAATCAAGGTTTCAAATAAAAAGTATATGAATATGTATACCCTAAGGCTTCTTCCCCTTGTCTCACTTGCAAAACACAAAGTAGATATAAATTAACGGAGATGGAAAATATCACAAGACAATGAAGTGGAAGCGAAAAGGCAGAAAGGGAAAAGGAAATAAGGGTAGCATTAAGCTTAAAAAACCAGGTATCAAGTGCCATGGTAGCAAAAAAATATGAGAGAGAAGAGGATAAAGTTAAGTCAATAACAATGAATGTCAGAACTGCATAGGAATAATAAACTAGAGTAATGGTAAAGAGGACATTATTCGACAGTTAGGGAAATTGGTTAAACCGGGGAAAGGGAAGAAGATTGTATTTAAAAAAAAAAGAAAAAAACAGGCAAAACAAGCAATTGAAAACAAAGTCAAGTAAAAAGAAAAAGGAAAAAGAGAGCGGGGGGAATATCAAAGAGCGGAGACCATCAAGGCCTGTGGCCGCTCTTCTTCCAGAAAAGCCATATCTTCTAACCAACGCACAAAAGAAAGCACCCAGATTTGTACACCCATTGTAGACCCACATGGAAAAGATAGCCATTTGCATCGAATGTGCTATTAAACAGGTCAAATCATATTACCTATCGCTGGTTGTGCAGGCGCAGCAGGAGGAGCCAAGGCCGCTGATGTAGGAGCTTTAACAGGAGTCGACGATCGTTCCTCTTCATCCAACCGTTTCCGCCAACTAGCCAAATTATCGCTTAATCCACTCTCGCCATATGTTTCCTTGGTGGGCGTACGGTCAAAGTCGAACTGGGTGCTCAAACGGTAGTTCCGGTTTGTGCTTTCCCAGTGGCTTCGGAGAGCGTCAAGCTCGCTAGCAAGAGAATCTAGCGCGAAAGAACTACGGTGGTCAAGGAAGGAGTCATCTTGAGAAACATTACTACCAGCCCTTGGTCGGGCACCGATCGTATTATTGCTGGATGCGTTGCTGATTGTACGGCTCAAGCCATTGGGATGGGAAAGCACTTGTTGGGATTGTCGTCGGTAATTCGTCACTGACGATTCGACTTGGTCGAGGAGCATTGAGATCTTTTGTTCGGCATCCAGCGCCCGGCTTTCAAGAAGGGCATTCTCGCTTTTAAGCTGCTCCAGATCCTCGCGGCTCTTTTCCGTGATGCTCAATAATTCGCGTTTGATGTTGTCCTGTTCCGAGAGGCTTTGATCTCTTTCTGCTTGTGTAGCTGTGAGGTCCTCTCGAAGTTTTGCGAGTTGAGCTTCGAGGTTAGCAATGGAAGTCGAAGTCCTCTCTTGCAGGTCCGACAGAGATTTTTGCAAATCGAGCCGCTCGGTCTCCCATTGGGCAGACGCTTCTGGAGATGGGGAGGATGTTGAATTGGTTTTTTGAAGCGCAGTTTCTAACTCAATCTGTAGCTTGGAGTTTTGCGATTTGTACTTGGAAAGCTCGTCCTTCATTCGCTTGAGCATTTTCTCTGTTCCCTTTACATAATGAACGGCTGATTGGTAATCGTTTTCAAGTTGCTCAAGCTTCTCATTGTATGCACGATCAGCCTCTTGTTCTCTCGACTCGAAGGATAGCTTCGTTTCTTCATGCGCCTTTATGCTTGACTGAAGTTGTTGCTCTAATTCACGGAGACGGTTGTGTTCAGGAGTTCCGAAACGAGAACCGGGTGAATCCAGTAATGGCGATCGCCTGTTGTCAGCCGTTATGCCACGTTCGCCAAGCAGCTCTTTCAATGCGCCATGTTGTATGGCCAACGCATTGGCGTCGCGTTGATGGTTCTCGAGCTGTGCCTTCACTTCCCGGTTCTCGTTACTAAGCGCTTGGCTCTCTTTCAGAGCAGTCTGGAGTTGCCTACGGAGCTGCAGACCCTCTCGACTAGCTTGTTCCTGATACTGCTCTAATCCTGCAATACGTTCTTCCGCTCGTCGAAGTTTCTCGGAAGCTTCGTTTGCTGCTTGGTGATTTGTTTTCGCCAGCTCATTTGCCCGGTCAACTTGCTCCTTCAGAGCAGCAACTCTTTGCTCAGCAAGTGATTTAGCTGTAGATTCGGAATCACGTGAAGAGGCACGATCTAAACCAGCCAAGAACGCTGCTCTGTGGCTCTCTGCTTCCCTAGCATGTGTTTCTGCCAATTCTTCAGCATCTCTCAACCGGCGGGCTGTATTCTCGAGCTCAGTGGTTCTTTCCTCATGTTCTGCTCTAAGCTGCAGAAGCTTCCTCTCCAAACCTTCGCGGTGATCCCGCTCCTCCTCCAGCTGTCTTTCCAACAGCTCAGCTTTAGCTGAGGAAGCGTTGACCGCTTCACGAAGAGATCCGACATCGGTGCCATGGTTTTCTAGACGGCTACTGAGATCATCAACTTTTTGAGATAGTTCGCTTTTATCAATCTGAGTCAGCTTCAGAGCACTTTCCGCCTCGGATCGGAGTGCTGCTTCTTCTCTGAATGCAGATTGCAGGTGATGGAGCTCAGTCCGCAGACTTTCCAATTCCAGGTTGTTGTTTTGAGATTCCATTTCTGACAATCTTTTACTCGTTACCTCATGAAGTTCTTCGGCCAACTCTTTTGCTCTCCTCTCGTCTTGAAGCTCGGACATCAGTGTTTCAGTCTTCGCCTTCAATTCCGCTTGAGATGCAAGGGCAAGAGCTAGTCGTCGACTTATTTCTGCGGACCGGTCAGGGTTTGTTTCATCAATGTCGCGACCGTTACGATCCGACTGTGGTGTTCCTCTTCGGCTGCCCCCTTGAGCCGCGAGCTTAGCTTGGGCATAAGCTGCCTCGTTAATAGCTGCATCCCGCTGATGTTCCACCTCAGCCACTCGCTTGGATGCAATTGCAGCTTGACGATCAACAGCGGCTTGCATTTTCGCCAATTCTGCTCGCATGGAAATGAAGGCTTCAATCAGAGGACGGTCTTCTTCCTTGAAAATGTCTATAGATCGCTGGTCAAGAGGAGAAGCGTTTGCCGGGTTGAGAGTATATCCCGCTTTGCGGGCCATTGCTAACTCTGAAGCATACCAAGCATTCCTGGCTTTTGCTGCTTCGAGGTCTTTAATAAGAGCTTCTTGATGTGGAGTCAGTCGAGGGGAGCGAGGCTCATCGTTGAGGTTTCTGGAATTCCTATATATTCTTTGCTCAGACCCATCGGCACTGCCGGGGCCCTTGCCCAGGATGGAGTCATCAACACTATCAATAGAGTTATGATGTTTTTGTCGTAAGGAACGTTGTCGAGCTGGCGTCACTAGTGGAGCGGCTTCTCCAGCCTCCATAGCTCGAGCAGAAAGTCGCGAGGATTGCTGGCGCCCACCAGAGACGGGGCTCTGCTCGCGTCCTGGTCGAGAATTTGTAATCATTTCGCGCATCACAGGTGACTGTCTGTCCTTTTCATTCCCGACAGTTCTCAGATTGTCAACAGGTGTCATTCCTCGTTCGCCTCCCTTGTGTGGTTTGCTTCGTCCACCCTGGGTGTTAATATGAGGAGCCCTGGGTGTTGGAGTTGGCGCTTGTCCGGGAGGCGGTGGTCCTGCTGGTGCTTGCGCGATTGATGCTCGGGGTAAACGAGACCCTGTGCCCCCAGGGCCAGGGCTTGACACATCAGGCCTACCAGCAGTTGCGCTCTCTCTACCCGATGATGGTCCACGGCGGCCATGCAAATCAGGGGTTGAATTATGGGCTTCGCGTGATGTACGGCCGGATGCGCTCGGACGGTCCGCCTGGCCTAGCTTGCGGGAGGCGTTGCCGGTGGGAGAAGTTGGGCTGGGCTCAGCAGGATATCGAATTTTCGCAGTGTCCAAGACATACACGAGGCTGAGCTCTTCCGGATCGCGGGGCGCGGTGCTCGGCTCGCCCCCAAGGACTATGATTTGTTTGCCGAATGATGTCATACTATGACCAGAGCGAGGAGAAGGCGATGGTCCCATGTTTTGGAAGGAAAACCATCGTCTAGTTGTGATACGGAACGCGGCTAGATCTGCCAAATCTGCGCCTTCTTCAGTGCGTCCGGAAAATATATACATAACGTCATTAATGAGGGCTGCAGCATGCCCTTCTCTCGCTGCTGGTACGAACCCAACATAATCAAGTTGTGCCCAAAGATTCGTCCTGGGGTCGTAGCACCAGACGTCATTAAACCATTGCAGCCCGTTCGTTCCACCGAACCTGTAAAAATTAGATCTAATACTTAAAAATTTATGTTGTAGGCAGAGGGACTCACAAGTAAAGCTTATCATTGAAGCTGACGATAGTGTGATTCGTTCGAGCTGGTGGGATTTTACCCGGAGGTGGCCCACCATCATGGCTATTGCGGATTAAAAATTCCCATTTATTCGACGGATTCTGGAGAGCATTGAGATCAAAGGCAACTAGATCATTGAAGAAAAAGCCATCGACTTGGCCACCGAAAATATAGATCTTTGAGCCTAATATATTCAATGTATGGCCGTATCTGCCAGCGGGTCGAGGTCCGGGAGGGACAGCACGAGACCATTGTCGAGATGCTGGAATAACGATGAGTGATCTGGAAATCCAACACAGTAAGGTAATAAAAACAGGTGGAGGAGAAACTTACAAGTATTTAATAAATATAATGTGTCGTCCAATGTATCATTGTCATCCGTTTTTGTGTCCCCCCCGAACACAATAAATGCGTTTCCAACTAATAAACTTGCATGTCCAACTCTAGGACCAGGTCCTTCAGTCACAGGATTGATAGGGAAGCATGACAAGTTTCCTCCGTTACTTTCTACCATCCATAAGTCCCCCTTCGCCGTAGTACCATCCACCAACCCGCCCATCATATAAATATCGCCGTCCTTTGAAGCTACTCCATTCACTGCGGCGCCATATCGAGGAAAAGGGCGGGAATTTTGGGGGAAGTTCATTCGTCGTTGCGACCATGGAAACAGGGCCGGGTTCGGAACGGGTGACGGTGCGTTATTTCCATTTGGAACCTGTGTTCGTGGACCCTGAGCAGTGCATGGTTATTAGCTATGGTATGGGCAAGCCTCTCATTACGTAAGAGCAAGGACACAATCGAATTTTGAGCAACAGAAATCTGCCTGAAGAGATGGGATGTACCTGGGGCTCCGAATCTGCTCTATCCCTGCGTGTCCTAGATTGATCTGGACTAACTGTACCACTCAGAGAGCTCAACGAGTTGTCCGCGCTCCCATAATTGGGAGACTGAACCGGCCCACCATCTCTGACGCCGTTGGGTGGTGCCGTTGAGGAACCTTGTGCCGTGCCTTCTGAGGTATGAATAGTTCTGGTGGCCGGGGGCAAGCTGTTATTCGCAGCCTGGCTTTTTTTCGACTTAAACAGGAATGCCATAATGAGATAGAAAAAGAAAGCGTCTTAACATAAAGGTAGATTAGATTGAAAAAGACCGAGTCAGCGACGGAAATGGGGATGGGTAGAGATGGCAGGTTAGAAGAGGTAAGAAGCAAAAAGACAACTACAAGTAGTCATCAAAAACGTTGTGCGCGCGCCGGGCAAAAGACAGCAAGTCGGTTTCGTTAACAGCGAATCGTGCGGAACATCGAGGGTACGAATGAGAATGGGAGCTGCTACGGGAACGAAGAAAAATCTGGCTGCGGCAGTACAGGCTCCCAAGTCAGCATATTGACGAAGAGGCACGAAGTTATCAAAGTGCTCGCAGAGAGCAGTTTACAGATCAAGAATCAAGAATAAAAGAAAGGGGGGGTGTTGAAATGCTACCTTGATGGGATGGGGCCGCACCGGTTCCTGGATTTGCGGCTCCAACTTTTTTGAGGAGTCCAACCAAGGTTCATCTATTCTCCCGTGTTCCTGAGCCACTAAAAGACCATCAAGCCTGCCCGTCCACAGGTGAGGTCGATAAAATCAAAGGTGAATGCCAACACCAAGACCATTGGACTCTGCCAAGCAGTCAGGCTGGTAGAAAAAATGGTCGTCGAAGGGTACGGGGACTGCAAACGATGATGCCAGATGTCCTGGGATGGGCAGTTGGGTTGGGTGAGCAAAGAGGACAATCAAGCGGAACCACAGCACTGAGGGGACATGAAAATGCCCTTGTCATGCAATCATGGGAACTCGCCTGCTGAACGGGCTCCGGACGACTAGAAGCACGGCGAGTTCAGAACCGCTTGGTCACAGTCGAGGGAGTGAAAGCAGCGTGTCCATGTTGCTGTGCATGTTCAGGATGAGATTTCCGTCCGCTGCCGTTGGTTTGGGAGAAAAAAGAAGTTGGTTGGCTTCAGGGGCGCCAAGCCTGCCCCGATCAGGCCTAGTGGACAGCGCCCTGCTAGGGCTGCTGTTGGGGGCGGTGGGTTCTGGGTACTTCTCCCGCACCAACTTCTCCACTGTGAGCTAGGTACCAATACTTTCCTGACGCTCTAAGATATGTATTCTCCTTACCTGCGACTCAGCTCTCCGGGTGATCATTGCGCTCAGTTTTTTTCCATAAAATAATCAATTTTTACTTTATTGACCGCAGCAAGTAGGCGCATATAGTACTACTACTCATGGCTTTAAGCAGTTCTAATTCTTTGTGTCTACGAATGCGAATATTATGGGCGTCTTTATCTCAATCTAGCCTTAATGTTGGCAGGAACTGCGGCCATTTCCTTAATCTTTGGTTTCCCACGTACTCAAGGACGACATCATGGAAGGCCTCCAAGAAGCGAGATGGGCACGCCCTGCACATAAATAATCGACTTGTCTCGTATATAAATTCGTCTATTCAGGCGGCTGGTGGTGTTATGGGGAATGGTGCTACCGTGCTAGCTTGCCAAGTTGCTCCGTTGTCCTCTCCTGCGGCTACCTAGCGAAAAGTAATTCTTCCGTGTCGTTTGAATTTAGTAATATGCGTACCCCGTAGAATGTGCTGGGGATGAGTGGACCCATATCAGACACAATTTTAAACGGACTGGGGACTATGAGTCTATGACCAGCCAGGCACCTTATTTCTTGACTGGCGAGAGTAGTAGGTAGTTGTTGCTCTGAGGGACTGTCCATGTACCATACTCCATGAACTGCCCTTCTAGACCTGCGTTGCAACCCGTGCAGGAATCGTCTTTACTTTGAGAAGCAGAAGGAGAAGGGCATTCGAAGAAGAGACTTTTTGTGGGACTCTTTGTTGTAAGCAGTACGCAGGGCCGGGGGGGAAATATTATTTATCAAAAAGGAGGTGATTGGCGCACTAAAACGCATTTGTTGGCGATAAGTTTTCTTCCCCTGTTGGTGTTGGCAGGAGGGCGCGTCCCTTGAGGTCTTCTCAGGCGGGCCATGGATGTCATTGGACATCGGGATGGGCGTTAGTTAGCAAGGAACTGATGGGCGCTTTTCTGAAGCGCCAGTAAAGAAAGATGGGCTTGTGAAGCATCTGTGGTATAAAAACGAGAGGGAGAGATGAAGTTTGAGGGAGTTGTGCATCCTACATGTTGCCAACATGACATGAATCAGTCAACAGCCATTGTGCTACGGAGAAATGTCTTTTGTTACCCAGATTTTCCATATATTCTCCGTCAACCAACATTACAAGACGAAAGCTAGTGGGAACATTTCCGCAGAGGCAATATCCAGAGGGAATTATGGAGGACACAACAGCAGGTTACAAGATCTTGTAGTGTGCTATGTATCCAGGAATTTTTGAACTACGCCGTACTTTTTCTTCAAAAGCATAAACATGGCACAGAAAAATGGAATGTTCCATGATCTTTATTGAGTGAGTTGACTAACTAGTTATTCCAAGCGTGTTTCATAATATGCCCGACTAAACCACTTTCACAGCTGAAAACGCCAACTGAGCGCCCCTGAATGCTAAGTTACTGGACTGACAGGGCTGCAAACTAGCAGCAGTTTCTCCGTACTTTGTTCTTCGCGGGGGAAAGTCACGCTGAATGTTGTGCAACCAACTTGTTTTGCGGGATACTGCAGTACGAGAAAGTCAACAGGCGGGAGGAAAAGGTAAGATAATTGGCAGGAAACCAGTATATAATACGATATAAATACGGTCTAACTATCGCAGACAAAACGAAGACTTAGTGAAAGGAGCGATGTTCGACTTTATACATACTTCATGCTGAAATTTCTGAAATTTCTCCACTGTCTATTAATCCAGTGTGACAGTGTTTGTATAGCCTTGATTCGTATAGGATTTTCTATATAAGTTGCGTGATTTTTCACCCAGCGCCGGATTTGGAACTAAGCCTGGGACATCAGGGGGTTCATTACATATCGAAGTACATGGCTGTGTGCTAGAAATATATATGGGAAGCATGTCATATACGGAGTACTCCGTAGTTAACTACCAATTGACAAGCCCCCGAACAGTCGCGGGAGGAGGGTGGAGTGGGTGGGAAGAGTTTAGGGGCTTGGCGCCTAAAGCTTGGCTGTCGAGTTAGGCATCAAGGCCTCATTACCTACGTATCCTGTGAGGACCTGATTCATTGAGCTCCAGTATTGATATTTCCGTTTAAATTTCTAGCCGGGTGCAAGGTAAACTATCGCTCAGGCTGGACGTCATGCTGTTATTGTGATTGAGCTGATATTGCAGTAGAGCCATAGTAACCGAAATGAGAAAGACTGGTCCGAGAAACAGCTTCAAGCGAGCTCCGTCATGGACATGTATGAATATCAAAAACAAGGTCAAGTCACTCACTGCCACTGAGCTTATCTCACCAGTTTTCCTTCAGCTGCGGAAACTGATCTGTAGAAAAATCCACAAACGATTCCCATGGAAGCTCGTTTTCCACAGAAGCCCGTTTGTCCCCGTAGGGAGTTTCCATGTGACTCATGGATGTACACTGAAGGGCTCTGCTCTTTGAGATATCGAGTGAAAATGGTTACCGGTTTGTAAAGGCTAATGCGGCCAAACTCGACAATTGAGGAAAACTTGGAGTAAAGGTATTCGCCACGCACGAATGGTCTTTTCGTCCACCGTGTTCGATATCTATGTCAATGATAGTTCTGCGCCAAGCGTATAGAGACGAAAAGAATAGTAGCGGTAAATGGATTATAGGAGGGAAAGACAATGTCAACATGGAGATATTATAGATCGTCAACAACTGGCTTGACCAGGTCAACAAACAAACCCATGAGGTGGTATGAGCAGCACGCAGGTTTGGCATCCTTAGGTATGTATAGAGTGGAAAATCATGTTAAAACGAGTCTGGTGTAATGTCTGCCGTTGATGTCCAAGTTGACAACTGTTTTTATCCTGGTTGTTAGGCGTCTTGACTTTGTGGTGCTTAATGGACAGCCTAGGAGAAAGGAAATAGGGAATGGAAGTGCCGCACACGTTAATCCAACATCCAAAGGGATGCCGCGAACATCCTGGATAATATGAACTCATCAATAAGTGTAATGAGGTCACCGCAAGGCCACGGCATAATCTGGTTAGCAGCAGGACGTCGTATATGTTGTCGGAACTACCTCATGGGTATGAACTTTGGACTAGGTTAACTATCCATGGGGTTGACTACAAGCTGCCCATTTGCTCACTTCAAGACTCATCGGGGAGCCCGCTTGTTGGGCGGCTAATCATGTCGTGGTGGGCACTGGATTATTGTTAATCCGTCGCCAAACCTAGCTGTGACGACAGAACTGAACTTCAGTCCTTTGCAGGACGGTGTAGGTTCGGTTTGTCGGACGCAGATATACAATCCACTTTGCGTATCGAAAACAGGGGATGTCTTCATTTGCTGACAGCCATTCATGTTAACTTTTATTTTGATTTGACGGGAGGTATTTGGTTGTCATTTTTACCGGTCTGAGCTCTACTGTATGGTAGTTCCGGCGCAAGGTAAGCGCACTTTTGTTTGCGGACGCCCTCTCCTTCGAAATAATGCAAGTTCTAATACATCATGCCAGCTTAATGACGATTGAAAGACGTAGTAATACCTCTCGTTGTTTCGAACGCAAGTCGTTGCAACCATCTTAAAGCCATGAATGGCTTCCTTTAAAACGATCCCCCAACTTTGACATGGATCAAACTGCGCCAGCGCAGAAGTATCCCAATATGGCACAAGGTGCTGGCCCACAACAACGTGGCCAGGGCAAGTCGGTCAGAGTCGCCTTTGGTCCACAGGTCGACGAGTATATACCGCAGTCAAACAATGCACCATCGCCTACTGCACCCGGCCACCAGCGAGCGAGAACAACTGTCGCCGAGCAACTTCAAAGCAATGGAAGGCAGAATTCTTCACAAGCTCCCTCCAGTAGTGCAGATGGAAATAAAGGGACTGCATCACCGGCTGTAACAAGGAACCTACGCCCCATACCCGCTCTTATCAGGGCGAAGAGCGAACACTTCCCCAAGTTTGGAGTTGAGAACGGGGCGCCCCATAGCGACGATGAGGATTTCCAGCTAAGACACGGCTGGCATGAGGAATACACTTCCAGTGAATATCTGAAGATTCTCAACTCCGTGAGTCTTAACGTGGCGTGACTTTGATCTCATACCAATGCGGATTCTAACTCCAGCCTTCCAGAGTTTTTACATGTATTTCACAGAGAAACGGCATGAAACCAGTGGCATACCGAGGGACCCAGCTGGGAGCTGGCCAAGCCAAGACTGGCGTATGAGAGATCGACTGAAAACTGTGTCTGCTGCGCTGGCCATCTGTCTAAACATTGGTGTCGATCCGCCCGATGTAGTGAAAACCAACCCCACCTCAAAGCTAGAATGCTGGGTGGATCCGACTTCTACCACAGGAGCACAGAACAAGGTGATGGAACAAATTGGAAAGAAGTTGCAAGAACAATATGAAACTCTGAGCCTTCGTACGCGTTATAAGCAATATTTGGACCCTTCTGTCGATGAGACGAAAAAATTCTGCATCTCTCTTCGTCGCAACGCGAAGGACGAGCGCGTACTTTTTCATTATAATGGACACGGGGTCCCTTTGCCAACCCAATCAGGGGAGCTCTGGGTATTCAATAAGAATTATACCCAATACATCCCGGTTTCATTGTACGATTTGCAGACTTGGCTTGCTGGGCCAAGTTTGTTCGTGTTTGACGTATCTCATGCTGGCAATATCGTCCATAACTTCCAAACATTTGTAGAGAAGCACGAGAAGGAAAATATCGAACTTCGCAAACGAGATCCAAATGCACTTATCCAACATTATGGCGATTGTATTTTACTCGCTGCCTGCGAGAGAACCGAAACCCTTCCAACTAATCCCAACCTCCCTGCTGATCTTTTCACCTGCTGCTTAACTACCCCGATCGAGATTGCGTTGAGATATTTTATTTTGCAGAATCCTTTGCACACCAATATATCCATTGACGATTTCAGAGTACCTGGGCGTCTCCAAGACAGAAGGAGTCCTCTTGGCGAATTGAATTGGATATTTACCGCAATTACAGATACAATTGCTTGGAATACTCTTCCTAGACCTCTTTTCAAGAAACTCTTCCGACAAGACCTCATGGTTGCAGCCTTGTTTAGAAATTTCCTTCTCGCCGAACGTATTATGAGGGCTCATGAATGCCATCCAATTTCTTCGCCAAAGCTTCCCGAAACTCACTCCCATCCTTTGTGGCAGAGCTGGGATCTTGCCATTGAGATGGTCCTTGCTCAGCTCCCGGCCCTCATTGAACATGAGGAAGGCAAACGACATTACGATTACCAGCATTCGTCATTTTTTGCTGAACAACTCACTGCTTTCGAAGTTTATCTTTCTTCAGGCCCGACGGAGAAGAACCCGCCTGATCAGCTTCCCATTGTGTTGCAAGTGTTGTTGAGTCAAGCTCATCGCCTCCGTGCGTTGATTCTGCTCAGCAAATTTCTTGACCTAGGGCCGTGGGCAGTCCATCTAGCTCTGAGCATCGGTATATTTCCATATGTTGTCAAACTTCTACAAAGCACCGCCCAGGAGCTTAAACCCGTCATGGTATTTATCTGGGCTAGGATCATCGCTGTTGACCATACCGTCCAGAATGACTTGCTCAAGGATAATGGAATTCACTATTTCATTACAATCTTGAGTCCTGCGTCCCCCATTCCTGTCGGTAACGCTAGTGAGCACCGTGCCATGTGCGCATTTATTGTTGCGATCTTCTGCAAATACTACCCTCAGGGACAAAATGTTTGTCTTGCCCCGGAGCTCTTCGAGGCTTGCCTTACTCATTTGATGGATGTTGAAAACCCTCTCCTACGCCAATGGTCTTGCCTCTGCTTAAGTATGCTTTGGCTCGACTTCCCTGAGGCTAAATGGGTTGGTATTCGATGCTCTGCGCCATCAAGACTCTGTGAACTTACCCTTGACCCCGTTCCAGAGGTACGAGCTGCTATGCTGCACGCCTTAACTAGTTTCATTGGAATCCCTGAGTTGACCGATCAAGTGGCTCAAATTGAAGAGTCCCTGGCCCTCACTGTTATGCCCATGGGTTCTGATGGTAGTGTGTTAGTCAGAAAGGAGCTGCTAGTTTTCCTCTCGACTTTTGTAAAGCGATGTCAGGGCAAATTCCTCGTCGCTGCATATGAACAGCTACTTGAAGAACGGCACATTTTATTACATCAAACATCCTCCAACAAACATTCCCAAATGCCACCGTTCCCATACGAGAATGGAGTGTCCTATAACACAATATTTGGCTCGATCTGGAAACTAGTCCTCATGCTGTCGGTCGATCCACACCCTGAAGTTGCTCGAGATGCGGGCATCATTGTCGATTCTATTCATAAATCCCTACTGGAGTCTCCCATGAAAACTTTAGCCAAAACTGCCAAAGATGAGATTCTGAAACTATTCTCTCGGGTACACGTTAATAAACCTCGGCGTGCAGAACAAGCTGATTTGAACCGGTCACTGCCTGCTCTCCCACCAGCTCAGTCTACATTAGCACCAAAAACTGAAGGATATTTGTCTCTTAGTTTCAGGAGAACGGCCAGCGTAGCTGCATCCTTGAAAAATCTGGCTTTTGGCTCCGGGGGTAACAATGAACGCCCTCAATCGCCCATTAAGTCCGCTTCTGTGAAACACCGTGTCCCTATTACCCCACGCGGTCGGGCACCCGCCGAATGGACTCGACCTCCCGAAGTTAATGATCAGCCAGCTACATCAGGATCATACAGGCAAGCACGTATCCCCCTATCCCGTGGCTTTCAGCAAAGAGATATTACGAGTATACCTACCATTCCCCTGGAAAGCAAGTTTTTGGACTGGTCGACTGAGGTAAGATGATCTATTTTCCGAAAGTATTTTTTTGAGCATTGTTCCTATTTATTAGGTGAATGGATTCTTCTCACACTGCGATAGTACTTTCGCGAGCCCCAAATGAAACCCAACGAATCAGATGAACCCGGAAGCGCAGATTACAATGAGCGCCTCTGGCGTCGGAGCCGAAATGAAAAAATTATTACCGATACTCAGCCTCTCAAAGAAAGGGCAGGCAATAGCCGATGGGATACTTCTGCTGCTCTTCTGAGCAATCCGACTCAACCAACAAAAATGTGCTTCCACCAATTTGAAGATCACATTGCGGTAGCTGATGATAGAGACACTGTTTGGTACGTCTTTTAATCCAGTTAGACTTGGGAAAAATCCACTGAGACGTCAGATTAGTATCTGGGACTGGGCAAAACCATGCACGCCTCAGCCGGTTTTCCAATGGCAATCCATTAGGGGTCGAAAATAAATGAAATTCGATTCATCAATGAGGACGACCAAGCACTTCTGATGACTGGCTCCTCAGACGGTGTTCTTAAAATATTCCGCAATATGAATCCAAATCTGAAGTTGAGATTGTAACAGCATTCCATGCTCCTCCCTGACTTGGATCCTAGCAACAAAAATGCTGGCTTGGTTTTCGACTGGCAACAAGGGCAAGGGAAAGCACTTGTCGCGGGTGACGTTAAAGTTATTCGAGTTTGGAATGCAGCCACTGAAGTTTGCACTAATGTGAGTTTTCTTTTGGCGATTTAAGTTTAATTGGTGGTAATAATTCTGACTTGTATTAGGATATATCTGCGCGTTCGGGTTCTTGTATAACCTCCTTGACATCTGACCAGGTCGCTGGGAATATTTTCATCGCCGGATTTGGCGATGGCGCCGTACGAGTATTTGACCAACGCCTGAAGCCTACAACTGCTATGGTTAAAGTGTGGCGAGAGCATAAACAGTGGATCACAAATATCCATATGCAACGGGGAGGAGTTAGAGAGCTGATTTCTGGTAGCCGAAATGGCGAGGTTCGTCTTTGGGACTTGCGAATGGATACGTCAATAGACATAATCCACGCCACTAGAGACACCTTGCGAACCCTAGCCGTGCATGAACACGCACCTGTATTCACCATGTAAGTGCCTATATAGTCTTTCCCCTTGAATACTCCTCACATGAAATATTCTTGCGCATAAATCTAACGCGATCGATCTACCCCATAGTGGCACCAACCGCCATGAGGTTAAAACATTCAATACCGATGGCACATACCTCTCAACATACGAACCCCATTTTAGCTTTCTGCACTCTAATAGATCCTCTCCCATTATGAGCACTGCCTTCCATCCCCACAGGACACTTCTGGCCTGTGCAGCTCTCAACGATAACCATATCAATCTTGTTTCATGTTAAACTGCAATTTTGCTTTCCATAAAGGCGAAGTTTTTCCGTCATGTCCATATCTTCTTCATATGGCAGAGGCGATTCCCACCCACATTATTTCACTAATAATTTTTTGTTGCTAGTAATGCTCTTACTTCTTCCTTGTCGCATTTTTCTGAGTAAATAAACCCCTTATATTATTCCCAGGCACCACAAAGGGGAGTGTGCCGAATTACGTTGTCTCATTGGTATGCAGTTGTATGTATTTTTTCCGTTACCATCAGTATTTATATTATTCTTTTCGTCATTCTCAGCATTATGCTGCTGTTCCTTGAGAGATAGTTCCCACGTCGTCGTTTACACCATTCTTTCTCCTCCTCTGCTCTTTGCTTTACTATAATTTGCACTATAACATTTACCCGCTTTGTTGGTGATTTAAGTAAGTTCTTCTTACTCCATGTTGATAATTAAATTATATACCTCTTTCCCAGTCGCGCTTGGTCGCTCTTATTTCTTATCCTATCCTATTTATGATAAGTGATTTTCTCTCTCTCTCTCTCTCTCTCTCTCTCTCTCTCTCTCTCTTTTTTTTTTTTTTTTTTTTTCTTTCTTTTTTTTATTGCGGATTTTTAATATTCATGCTTCCAAAGCTTCGTCCCCGCAAATTTATCATTTGATTGAATCGGAAATTCAGCTTTTTCACATCACAAGCCATCTCCCCCTAGCATAGATGGAACTAACCACCCTGCTCATTTTTAGCCTCTCTCCCTCGAAGCCCGGTCGCGTAGACAGAACAGAACACGATAAACCATGGACCAGAGAGCAATCCGCCTGATGTAATAATCCATGATCTTTAGAGAAGCCGATCACATTTTCCTTCCGGTTAGATCTCGCTTGGCCATAGTTATACGACTTTCGCACGTAAGCGGGACTTTTATAGATCGATCCTCAGTTCCTGCTCCTCGTTGAAAATCCAGAACTAACAAGAAACCCAAATTATACAGAAAAAAGGGAGAGAAGACGGATAAGGAAACCAAAGAAGACGCAGAAGAAGGAAGTGGGAGTGAATGGCTGAGAACTGACGGCGATGATCGCTGAAAAGTTGTTAATAACGCGATAGGAGTGAGTTGCTTTGAACAATACCACGATCAAAATCTGAATTTCTACCCGTTGCAAACCAGTTTTATCTCGTACCATCCAGTCTGGTGCAGTTCATGCATGATATCCCTTTTTAGCCCAGTTACCAGAATGCATGCATGCCCAATAACTAGAAACAAAAAGGTAAAGAATAGCGAACGAAATTTACTCTAATCTACCCTATCCCGTGTGCGCAATTTAAAAGTCAAGTTTGTTTTCGTTTGAAGCAAGCGAACTCCTTTTCGAGGAGCATTGTTCAAGCCAATAATTGTAACCATTCAAGTTCTTGAAGATACAAAAAAGGTAATTTCGAAAACATCAATACCAATTCCGATTCCAATTCCAATAAGACTGCATTTTAATACATCTTGCATGTTTCTCTAGACGCCTTTACCCTCTTTCTCCTTCGAGAGTTCCATTTCTTCCCCACGGAGGACGAGAGGGCTTTGAGATACAGGATAACGTAGAGGGGCCAATTTCCAAGGATCGGCGATATTGTCTATGTCAAAAAAAACTTCTGGGGCCACCGCGTGTAGGTTCATCATAAAGCTTTGGGGCAGAGCTAAAGTTCGCAAAGCCTCTAGTTTGATTAGAGTCACCCACGGTATAGGACTGTAGATTGGCGAGAACATGCCCCAATAAAACCGTTCCAGCTTCAGCTACTCCTTCCCGCTCGCCAGGGCGAAGTTGCATCTTTGTAGCCCTTTGGTGTTCTGCCTCGTCTCGTGCAATCTCGGCAATACGCTGCCGAAAAATATCTTCACCGCGGGTGTCAGTGTGGAACCAGATGTTGGAGTGAACAAGTCTCGACGCGGGAGTATCTTCAAATGGCTTATTAGAAGAAGCCACTTGAAGGCCTGGTGGAATTGGCAACCCGGGTGGGGGGAACTTGAACTTGAACCGTGATCGAAGTGCATTGGGTGATTTGGAGAGAATCTCATCACTCTTGGGCCTGCTGGGAAATGCAGATGCAAATACTGAGCTCACGTCTGTGCCATAGTTCGAAGAAGTGTATGTTAAGGGCATGGACGTTGATATGCTACCTGAGTCTAGCGGATACCCCTGTACTTTCCCATTTTTAAATGTATGCTGAATTTGCGGGATTTCCGCATTCGTAGATGAGGACTGGTCTAGTTTGGAGAGCTCTGAAGGGCGATTTTAGTGGGTTTGCGATTAATGGTATACGATCGATATTGCCCACACAATCCTTGACCTCACTTTGAAATTCCTCATCGCGATTGCTTTCACTCGCAGCTTGAGAAGTCGTGATGGTATCCTTCAGATACTTGGTTATGCTTTGTCGCTTGGTGTGCGATGGTTGGTCAGAATCGAGGCGTTGAGGAATAATACTGACTTTAGTTTCATGAGACGTACACATGGTAAGAGACAAGGGTGAAGCTGAGGAGATTTTTATACTCTCTGTATCCTTGAATAATTCTGCCGTACAAGAGGTCCCACTTTCTGAATACATCCCAGGAGTCAAAGAGTGCTGTATTTTGCCCGGGCCAAACCCAGAATAATGGGAATTGCCGTTCTCTCGAACCACGGTAGATTGCTGCAACGAATAGTCATGATCGGTATGACCAGTCATCTGGCCATAGCTAGATTTAGAATCCGCTGCCCCGTCACGGTAGCCAGCACATCTTGGAGAGTCAGTGGGACAAGAATTTTGTACTTGGTTACTGCTGCAGGATGATTCCGGCGGATAATGACCAGTTTGAAGGTTGCTTTGAGATACCATACTGTATTGTAACGCTCTCAATGCCTGCTTTTCTTCCTGTTTGGTAGGGCTAATATCATCAGGAACCATTACGCGAGGACCAGCTTCTGGCGTGTCAATACTTCTGTGAGGTACGGCTGCAAGTCGAGGATTCTGGCGAGGGAGATTAGTACCCAAGTTTTGTTTATAATATCCAAATGCCGCTGTATGGCCCGGGTGCGGTTGCCGTCGTATTCCGTGCATCCATTGAGGAGCTCGTTGGGGTGATGCCCTTTGGAAGCCAAACATATTTGATCTGTGATCAAATGTTGTAACGTTCCTGAGTGGGTGGTTAACTGTGATTGCGCTGGGAGTAAGAAACCGAGCGGGTAGCCTTGCGCCATAGCTTTGATTGCGGCGATCCATCTCATTGCAATCTTCGTTTAGATCTTCGAGACTGAACGGTATCCACGATTTTGAGCCTTTGTTCCGACTATGTGTTCGAAGAGCGAATGAACTTAGGGAGATGGGTCTTGAAGAGGGAAGGCTATCGATATCGTCTAGTTCTGCGCTAGATTTCCGTGACCTCGCTGCTCGAAAAGGAGAATGATGAAACGACAAATCGCGGAATTTACTTTCAGAATTGCAACTGGCTAGACGCGTAGTTTGGGGGATTTGATCGTCTGTTACTGTAACTTCAGGCGGCGCAGCGAAGCTAGCAGAGGAGCACACAAGAGGTAGTTTCCCGTTCGTAAAGGGGGAAAATGTGCATGGGGAAGAGGTGGCCTCCGGGAATATTGAAGAGCATTGGTTGTTAGTGTCAACAGGAGATGGTTTTGTAAACTGCTCTGGATCACAAATCGGCATGGCAATCTCTTCAGCTGCTGTTGCTATCAGGTCTGTTTGCATTGTTCCATCGCCTGAGAGACAAATATCATTGTTTTTTGTTGTTATAGGGGCCATGGGACCCGCAACAACAAGTCCATCATCGGAACCAGTGGAGCTTTTCTGAACCACATCCCCATTATCATCATCAATACCACCCCCGGAACAGATATCAGAGTCCATGAGCCCAGACTCCGTTGCTACAAAACCAACATGAGGTCCGCCAGGAACTATACTCTCGATTGCTTGAGTGGGCTTTTTTTTGTGAGATCGGGATCCTAGAGGTATTTGTTGTCAGTCTCGATGAAGCGCAACGGAGGAGATATGGTAGGGGCATTGGTAGCCTGAAAATGCCAATACATACTGCGATGGGATTTCTTGGGGTACAGGGCCTCCATTATACCACATACATCTACAGGACCGCTGTGAGTGCAGGAAAGCAACAGAACTTATGCGAAGGGAAGATTTTCTATTGGAGATTTGTAACTGATTTCTCACAGGGAAGCAAAGACGCCGCCTCACGTGCTGCAAAGAAAAATCCAGCAGGAAGGAGGACTCTGGTTCGATGCTGCAGACTGCAGAAATAGGGAGATAGAGCGGGTTTTTGGAAGGAAATGGAAAGACCTCCAATGGGTTTAGATGATTAGATCCTGATTCACCTCCCCTGTCTTGAACCCCTGATTCGGATACAGAAACCCCTGATTCGGATACAGAAACGTGTCCAGACAAGAAGTGAGGCCGAGATACAACTCTGCAGCCATGCCCCATTATTTATCTTTCTGATACTGTGCTAATGAACCACCTTTGTGTGTGCTGCACAGTATATCGAAGATTCCAGTTCAAGAAAGGTCTTGAAGGCCCTAGACAAAGAACGAATGATAAAAGAAATGGGACCAGAGAATCAGGATCGCGATGCTTGGAAGACTAAGTGAATGAATTCCTTTTCAGAACAAAATCCACGGCAAAGAAAGGAGAACATAATATGCAAGCGGTTGCGAATATTACTCCCAAAAATATTCAAATCGTCGTCGTGAAGAGGAAGTACGGAGTATCCGCTGAGTTTGTCCACCAGACGCAGGGCTTGATATGTACCAGTCCGATGCAGGCATAAAAACGAAAGACTTGACCGCTGTAAGTGAAATCTACAGCAAAGCCCACTTCAGGCTAATAATTGAATAATTCGCTCCCGGCGGAGCTTAAGTCTGACATAAAGAAGTACAATACATGCCAAAAGGTGAGGGCAAGAGCAGGAAGAATGAATGATCGAAGAGAGTAGTAAAATTGTGGTCAGCTTTCCGTCTCACCCACAGAAAGCAGAGATAGAGAGATAAACATTGTCCTGGAACATCTTGAGCCTATGGCCTGGTATTCTAGTTCTGATCACAACGGGTCGGAAATGATAAAAGACGTGGCTGTTCTTGAATGGAACTTCAAGAGTTGGCAACCATTCATGTTTCTGAAGGCTGTTAACTAAATATTATTTTACTAACGACGTATTTTATGATATGGTATTGTATTGTAACCACTTTCTTGGCAATTTAGAGTCTTCATTTACTATATACACTCGGCGAAGAGACTTGAAAGACAAATCACACGGATATTTATCATCCAGGTCATAACTGCCCCCCATGTCCAAATTTGCGGGAACGGAAATATGAAGAAAACGTAGTCAAAACAATGGTCATTAATCAATCACAAAGCCCTAACTAAGAAATGCAAGATCCATACCCCCGAAGCAAGTCACCTGGCTTTGCACTCTGTCATCGCATATGATCGTGTGTTGGGTCATCATGGGCAACTTCTGGAGCTCCAATATGCTTGCTCATCACACTCTGGGGTACCTGAGCTGCATCCACGGGCCCTTGTCAAAAATTTCCCAGTTCGAGAGCTTGAAAAAAAAAAAGAAAAATGAGGGGAAAAAAAATGAGGTTGAAGAATGAGAAACTGATGTCCTCGCTTTCCGACACCAGCTCGGCGGGTTTCAGCCTACTTGCGAGTTACGTTACCACCAACTGTACGGCTGTTGTAAAGATCTGAGTCGACGCTGTTGTTTGGATGCTTTGTTAGCTGGCCGGTCTTTCCGTGATGGTGAACGTTCATCCACACGGGTAGTAGTTAACGCGGCATAACTCTTCTCATTTTTACTCACCGTGGGTCGAGTTTGTTCTCGACATTAGAACTGTGGGGAACAGCAGCGCGGTCTGCTGTTCCTGACCCAACACTTGACTTCGTGGCGTTTGAGCTGGATTGGCCTGTTGCGTGATGACCTGTTCCTGAACCAAGGGCTTGACCGGTACCCCCAATCCCACCGGACACTGGATCAGTGTGCATCAGACCGGTCCCTCCAGAGCTTTTGTGGCCGGTTGTTCCGCCAGTTGCGCCGCCCACTGCTCCTGTACCAAGGGCTGAACCAGTACTACCAGTGCTCGTGGACATCCGTGGATTGTCTGTCATTTAGCATGTCAGCTTCTCTCCACAAGCTTAGACTTGAGAGCTACATACACTGGTCCTCCGCCACCCGGGGGTCGAGTTTTTTGGCGACGTTTGAGGAATGTGGTGGCTGAATGCTGGAAGTCGTGCCTCCACCGGTGTGATGGGTTGTTCCTTGGGTGGTCCCCTGGGTGCCGTGATTTCCTTGACCTACTCAGAATTGTTAGTCCGATTACAGGCAACAATGCGAATGTGTGTGAAATGAGAGTAACCATACCGACACCAGAGGTGGTTTGGGTATCGCCATGGTGCGAATGGCCGGTCACGGCATCCTTTGCTTTCTGCACTATATTTGACATGATTGTGGTCACAACGAATAGGCTGCTGATTCAAGAAGCTAAAGTGAAGGTTTTAGAAAATACAAGGGAAAAATAACATTTAATATGAATGTGTTGTGATTTTGATAATGTTGATGAAATAAATATAATCTATGGGTGTTGACGTCTTCTTATCTAGAGAACTTACTACGTTTACCTCCGTAAACGCATAATTCACTAAATGGTCGTAATCCGTGAATATTGGACCACCTCAGTATATTAAGCAGTATCAGATACTCCATAATCAAGATATAATAAAAGCTCCAGTGGGGCAAATACAGTAATCATGACGGCGAAAATATCCACCACACGAAACTTGTAGGAGCGGAGGCTAGAGTAGAGTAATGCGAAGTGCGGAAAGAACTTGGTCAAACTCAAGTAGCTCCCCTCTCCATGAGATGCCTCAATGGACGTTTGTTGAGTTGGACTGAGCTGGTTTACCTTTCCTCGACGCCGTTGTTGCACCTATAATGAGTAACTCCCACGACAATCATGAGATAAACCTGACGTCATATTTACAAGCCACAGCTGGTTACTCCTGAAACCAGGTTACTGACTTTTCATATTCGTCACATCAATCGAACGTTTTCCGTCGGATACGTCATTAACCTGATATCGCCTCATGATGAGCTAGCGGCAAAGGCATGAGATGTAGATAGTGTCACAAAATATGGCTCAATGTGCGAAAATCATTCCAGCCCTTCCAATCTTCAATCTTGGTTTATCGAGATAATTACTACTATTGATAATGTATCATCAGTCGACGGATAATCCGATACTGCACCATGGGAATCTCAAAGCACATCAGCACAGAAAATGGTACATCTCCCATTAAATACGATTAGATCCAAAAGGTCACGAACAACATGCAGATATGCTGGGAAATCGGGATGGCTCGTTGACGATGGAGGAGGTTTACGAAAGAAAAAAGTTCGCGAAAGGGGAAAAGAGCCAGAAACAAAATTTTGGGCGCTGCCAGAATCCACGGCGACATCGTCAATGCGAACGATATGTTATTCCTCTAGCCAAGTGTATACTTTTGTGTTTTTTCAAAAGTGTTAGGTGGCTGATCTTGGCGGAGCCTTCAAAGTTATCTCATAAACTGGAGACAAGGATATAAAAATTAGATCTAGTAGGAGACAAATAATATACATATCCCTTCTAGTGATATAGAATTGCTGAATAGATGAAGTTGAATATTGGCATTCATTCAAACAGTTGTAAATCTCAAAACAGCATACAGATTGTGAAAAGCCCTTAAGTTTTATTGTGCTTGTCCTTTTAGGATTAGTGTAGGTGATTCTGGACGGTGGTTGGTTCGTGACTTGGTAGAAGTCCAAATCGGGTTAGTATACGCCCTCCACGGAGCCCTGGAGTGGCTGGTGGCTGAGTCTGCTGAAACACACCAATGCCGTGGGACGCTTGTGGTTGGTGCTGGAGCCAAGTCATGTGACCCAGTGTCTTCGCCGCCTGGGGTTTGGTGGAGGAGCAGCAAGCATCCAGAGCAATCCCTTCAACAACCTCATCTCCATCTATTCCTGTTTGTCGTCTTCTGTTCTTTAGATCATTCCTGCGTTGCTGCACTCGTAGAGCCTTTATCGAACAATTTCCTGTTCGTCCAAACCTACTAACTGCCACACTCTCGATGACTGGCCTCCTCCCGTGGGCGACGACCTAGTGGATTGGTCTGTGCAAAATCTCAACATCATGCGTCCTCCTCGCCTTATTCTTCTACTGGCCTGTTTTATTTTCCTTCCGATCTTTCTGACCATCTTGTCGCTCCTTTTCTCTCACCCGCAACATGGCTCCGCCTCCCAATCCTCGGTTTCTGGCGGGGCTGGGCGCCTCAGAGCCCTCTTCTCTTTCCATGCACCCTCCTCCCTATTTCCGCCCTCCGCGATGATAAGCCTTACAGATGATAACTCAACCTTCTTCCTGGCCCGGCCTGCTGCGTTTGGGCCAACTTTGCCATCCAGCGGATTAAGCGGTCAGCTTTGGATTGGAAGCGGCTTCGGTGATGACGTCTTGCGAAAAGGGGGCGTAAGTACCGGGGCTGAAGGAGAGCTCGGTTGCTCCGATGTTCCAGGATGGGAGGATAACGATAAAAATCAGAATCATGATGTTGGCTCCGGCCAGGGAACCGCGAAACTTACTTCTGGCATCAAAAAGAAAAATACTGCCAACAAGCCCGTGAAGGCGCTTAATGAACGGCGTGACGAACACTCTTCCGATCTCGTTGGATTTAGTGATCAAACGAATCACCCGTCAAAAGAAGATGGAACAGATGATCACTTGCATCATCCTCTTCCGGCGTCCGGTCCTCCTGGTCTCCCAAGCGCCGCCAAAGGCAAAGAACCAGCACATGCTGATATCCAATCTTTGCAAGAGAGTGCCGAAATTAGAGGCAAGATTGTTCTGCTAAGTAGAGGAGGATGCGGATTTTTGGAAAAAGTTAAATGGGCTCAACGAAGGGGTGGTATAGCATTGGTTGTTGGCGATGATACCAGAGGTGGTGGATTGGTGACCATGTATGCCCGTGGAGACACTTCTAACATAACAATTCCCGCCATATTTACGTCCCATACCACCGCACATCTCCTGTCCTCCCTTATTCCATCCGAGACGCAGTCCGACCCCAGCTCAGCTAAGGACCAATCAAAGGCCACTTTTGTGGGCAAGCCAGCAGATATTGAAAATTCTCGCAAACCTGCAACAGCTACACATGTTGCAACTCAACCAACTAAAATGGCGGATTCGAAATCCTATACCCCAAGCAAAGGTTTCTTTCAGTCGCTATTTTCGGCCATCGGCCTCGGTCGCGATAAAGCCAGTACTTGGCAGCTCCAGGAGGATAGCCGTCGCCCGCCAAGCAGTGGAAACATTGACTGGGTTATGCAAAATGAATTTGACGACGAAGAAACGTCTCCTAAATCAAGGAAGCCTACACCAAATAATATGAGGAAAGAAAACGGGGATGACATTTCTCTTGAATCTCACCAAGGTGGCAGTGATGACTTCGTTATAGGAGTTCAGGATTGGCGAGATCCCGATCTCGTGGCACCCCCCAAAACCAATAACCCTCCACAAACTACATTGAAACCTAAATCGTCTAACGTCAAACAGAAGGATGATCAAGCTGGAGTACTCGGTGGGGATAATACCAATGGCCCCGGTGGCAGCGGTCTCAAAGGAGGAAGTATCACTCCGGGTAGCGGCGAATATTCCTCCCAAGATAAATCAGCGGTCGATAAGGGAACTGGGAGGGATCCTAGTACCCCTCCGGGTGCGGCAGATTCTCGGTATGGAAACTCAAAACAAGATTCGCATTGGTGGTCTGGGTGGGGGAAAACAAGCGATGATGATCAGATTTCGACTTCATCAAATGATAGAGATAAAGGACAACAGAACATGAACGTCAAAGAAACCTCCACTCCCCTGCAAAAGTCTTCGAAAGAGAGGGGTAAGCACCCAGAACACGAAGGTCTTTGGGTCACCTTGACTCCAACGAGCATGTCTACCAGTCCCTTTTTCGACACCCTCTTGGTTTTGGTTGTCAGCCCATTGATAACACTTACGGTTGTGTATGCATTGCTATTGCTTCGCTCTCGGATTCGACGCCGTCGTTGGCGCGCACCTAAAGCTGTCGTCGACCGGCTCCCTGTTAGAACGTATCATTCCATACCATCCGGATCACCATCTTCGACTAGTTCTCAGACTGCAACCTCTCCCGAAGCATCATCTGCATCTTCTCCTCTCCTGTCCCATTCCCGCGCTCGATCCCCACGACCCAGACCGCGTTCTCAAACCACCGCTGGCATTGTAGCCTCTTCTTCACATGACGCCACAAATGACTCATCGACTAATGCAGAAAAATCGAACTCAGATTCGAGCCTGTGGCGCCGAAGATATACAGGCAGACAAGTTGAGTGCGTTGTCTGCCTCGAAGAGTATATTGATGGACAGAGCAGAGTGATGAGCCTCCCTTGTGGACATGAATTCCACGCAGAGTGCATGTGAGTAATTCTCTCCATTTTGCTGTTATTAATCTATTCAAATTAGCGTACTGATTAGCCTTGTTCCAGTACCCCTTGGCTTACTACGCGTCGACGAACTTGTCCGATATGCAAGGGTGATGTTGTACGATCCATGGGTGGCCCATCATCTAGTGATCAGACTTTGGAAGGTCCTGAGCGAATGTCAGAAGACCTCCAAGCCCGTATTGCTGAAACGCGAAACGATTCTCCATCAGCAGCTGTTCCTATATCTAACGTTTCTGGCTTTATCAATTCCGACCTAGAGCGTGGCGATGATTCCAGGGTGTCGCTTCTTAACCGCGCCGAGGCTCCAAATCCCCAATCTAGTTGGAGGAACCTTGCATCCTTAAGCATTTCTGCATTAAATGGGGATTCAGTGTGGCATCAATCCCGAAGCCCTCGGTCCGATCGAAACCGTTAATATCGAACTTTCCTCTCAACTTCTTTATATATATTTTTAATACTACAGAGTTTCTAATCTGTACCCCATTCACCTTCCAGGCATATCTGTTCCCTTTGTATCTTTGGTTTAGCGAACGTGGGGGTTTATTCGATTACTGGGTACCTCGGCGTTGTACATGTGACTATTGTTAATTGAAACAAAATAAAACGAGTGGCTTTAGCTTTGCGATCCCAGTGTTTATAGGATGGCACAAGAATGGATGTCGTTGCTTTGCTTCAGATTAGTTGGTATCATCGTAGGAGGTCTTCCCTTTGTCGAATTGAGATCCAATTTCTAAAATTAACAGGCTATGATGATGAGATGAAGAAGACTCGTAACGCTGTTTTTTTGTTACACAGGCATAAATTCCTTCACATTAGTTTTTAATACACCCATTTGTGGGGGAAAAAGGAACGCCTCAATCATATCTCATTGTCTTAAAAGACATGTGAGTTCGTCTACTATATATAACTCCCCCGGTTTAGATATCTATAAAATAAGGTTTAGGCATGTCACATGCCTGACGTCATTCTTCCCTGGCTCCAGCTTCGACAGAATAACTTAACAACGGGCTCATCTATATACATTACAACCTCAACTCCTTGTTCATACAAAAGAGAACGTGACGGTCAGTCCTACACATATCTCATCTAGCTTAACTAACTGACCAACACATCAAAGGAGAGGGAATTCCAACTCGCGCCACTCATACGCTCGTATCCATCCACATATAATATGGCAAACAAGCTCATATCAATCCTCGTCAGCGAGGTCAATGACCTGATAGCATTTCTAGCGGAATTGGCCAAGTCAGGCACATACATATATCCCTTCCAGGTATGCGCTTATATCCGTCATTTCAACGCCTAGGAAAGCAACCCAAAACTCCCAACATATGCCAGCACGTCCTAATAGACAACACCAGGGAATCCTCTACCTAGTCTCCCATCGCTCCCTCCGGCAACCCCTAGTATCTAAACTCTCCAAAAATAGTCTCCATCGGTATCCCCGTGACCACAATGATGTTCTTCTTTACCTACATCCCCCAGATGGCCGTCCTAGCTTTCACTAACGGGCCCCTGGCCCCATTCTCTGCGATCCTTCTCGTCCTCAGCGAAAGCTCCACAATTACAAACTTCCTCTCGCGTAGTTTCATTCTGCGAGATTCCCTCGTTGACACGTTCGATGGCACGCTGATTGCTCGTGGCGACACGGAGTTAGTCTGTCAGGGCCGCAAGATCAAGGACCCCGCAGCATCACTAGATCCAATATCACGGTTGGGAGATATGATTCGCAAGCCGTTGGCGACGTTCTCGTTGTCATCGCTGGTGAGGTCTCTTGTATATTTGCCGTTGAATATGATTCCAGTTTTGGGAACAGTGATGTACATCCTTTCTCAAGGGAAAAGATTCGGGCCGATCTCCCTAAGGGAAGGTATTTTCAGTTGAAGGGGTGGGATTCGAGGAAGG